CGTCCCTCTGTCTCGTGCCTACAACAAACACAATTCTCGTCCAGAAGCCCGAGAATTCCTTCCGCAATGCCCACCAGTGACCGCACGATTCTTAGCCCACACAACTACCACGATCCAAGAGCAACCTGAAGAAGACAGAGAGATTGAATTACGAAACGAACCCAAGAGATACATTCAAGGCAACACACCAGCACACGTGTCATTACCGCCATCTCGCCATGGAGAGAGAACGACAATACCTCCGCCCGAGGGCGGGCGGCACAGTCACCCCCGGCTCGGACGGCCGGGTGTCCGGGCGTCCCGCCGAGTGGCCCGAGTGGGAGCCGGACAGGCAGCAGGACTGCGGAGGTCAGCAGCCTGAGCAGCAACCCGCAAAGTCCATCCTAAAGAAGGCAGCCCGCCCAGCAGCACGACCGCGCCGGAACTCGGACACGTCTGTCACCTCATCCAACGTGCCTGCGGTTGGAATAGACTCAGACCTGGGATTGCCTGCAGCGCTCCCCGCACCTCTCCCCTCCGTTTCGACTGGCACCCTCCCCAGGAAAGTTCTCAAGGCGAAGTTCCCGGGTATCCCCACGGAACGCCAGGCGGTCATCAGCCTCAGGCCGTCGAGGGCATCCTCGGCCAATACCCCCTCTGGCTACCATGTGCCGCCTGTACGGGCAGCCCTGGAGCCTCAATACGTGCCTGAAAACAGACTGCTGGAACGGGCCGATCGCCGCGAGCCCTACGATCGCCATGACCGGCACTATCCCGACCTGGACCCTGAGACCGAGTCCGTCTCAGAGTCCTCCGACCTCTCCTCCACCACCCAAGCAACGACAGTCATCTCATCCACGTCCGATTCGGGCGCAAGCGATGTAACGCCCACCGAGACCAACACCAAGTCAACACCGTCGGTCCGCTTCACCCCCAGCGTCATTGGCTCCGAGAGCGCAGCCAGCTCCGTCCTTCCCGCCCGCAAAGTGAAGCCACGGTTGGGCACGCGGGTCAGGCCGCCCTCGGAAGCAGACCGGAGCGTTGTCAGGAGCGGGAGCCGGCCAGTCCAAGTCAAGGTGCTTCCCCTCGCCGCCGAGACGCCCGAGTCGAGGTACACCCGTGAGCTCGAGCGGTACCAGCAGGAAATGGAGCGCAGCCTGATGTACAAGATCGAGCAGCTCGAGGCCGAGAGGGAGACTCTCCGTGAGAGCGAGGCCAAGCTGAAGCGGGAACTCGACCATCACTCGTCGCGCCTGGCTGCACTGGACAGGGAAAAGGCCGCCGTCGAGAAGGAGCGCGATATCGAGCGCAACCACAGGGAAGAAGTCCTCGGCATGCTGGAGCAGCAAAAGGCCATTTTCGACGAGCTCAAGAGCAACTTCGACCTGCAAAAAGTCATGCTCGACGAGACCGAGAAGGAGCGGGATGCCGAACGTACCAGCAAGGCCGAACTGCAAGGGAAGCTTGAGGCCACCAGACAGGTCCTTGACGAGTACAGGTCCACCATGGAGCTGCAGAGGACCATGCTCCAAGAAGCCGAGAAGGAGCGTGACGACATCAAGACGTCCCGAGACAAGGTACAGGGACAGGTTTCCGAGTTGGAGAAGGATCTCAAGAAACACCAAGACGACCGCAAGGAGCACGAGGACCTTCTGACCCACCAGATCGCCGCCCTCGAGACCAGCAGGGATGCCCTCCAGGAGCAACGGGACAATAAGGACAAGGAGATTGCCGACATGGTTGCCGGTCGCGAGAAGCTGCAGATGGAGATTGATTCCCTCACAGCCCGTGTGGCTGCCCTGGGTGACGAGGTGGAGGCCGCCCAGGAAGAGCAACAGAAGATCAGGGACGCCGCGGCCAAGGACAAGGCCGCGCTGCGGAGGGGGTTGGAGGAGGAACACCACGCGGCAAAGGATCGCGTCGTCGAGCTGGAACAGATCAGGGAGGAGCTCGAAAGCGCCAGGACTGCTGTTCAGCAGGAGAAGGCCGAGATCCAGGCCAAACTCGAGTCGGCCGAGGGAGAAATTGCCAAGCTAAACTCCGAGATTGAGGACCTGACAGCTTCGTCGTCCGACCTCAACGCCAAGATTACGACTCTCGAGGAGCAACTGGCGTCATCCAAGGTCGAAGCAGCCGGCCTCCAAAGCCAGGTCGAGGGCCTAGAAACCGATAAGGCCGGCCTGCAGAAGCAAATCGAGGACCTCTCTACCGAGAAGACCGAGATGCAAGCACGCATTCACACTCTCAGCACTGACCTTGCCGGCGCCAAGGCGGCCAACGTGTCACTCGCGAGCCAGAAGCTGGACTTGGCTGGCGACATGGCTGGGGTCTCGGAAGCCCTCGATGTCGCGAGAGCCGAGATCGCCAAGCTCACTGTGGAGAAGGTCGCGGCCCAGGCCGAAGCAGACAAGGTTGCCGGCCTTGAGAGCGCTAAAGCTGAGCTCGCGGCCAAGATCACGGAGCTGGAGGGCAACATCGCCGGCCTCCAGGGCACAGTCGCGGCGCTTGAGAGCAAAATCAGTGAGCTCCAGGGCGAAGCGGACAAAGTATCTGGACTGTCAAGCGAGAAAGCAGCTGCCGACAGCATGGTTGCCGACCTCGAGGCCAAGCTCGCCGGGGTCCAAGCCGAGGCAAGCAAGGTGTCGACCCTCGAGGCAGCCAAATCTGGGCTCGAGGACAAGGTCTCCTCTCTCCAAGCCAAGGTCGCCGAACTCCAACTCGAGCTCTCCAAAGACCCGGACGCCGCCGCTGCCGCCCTGCGCGCCGAGCTGGAAGCCAAAGGCCAGGAAATCATGCGCCGCGTCGACGAGATCAACGCCCTCACCGAGGGCAACACGGCCCTCTCGGCCCAGCTGGGCGCGACCAAGCAGCAGCTCGAGACGGTGCAGCAGTCGCTCGACAGCGTCACGCAGTCGTACCACGCCGCCACGAGCCAGGTCACGGTCCTCCAGCAGCGCGTCGACCAGCTCGCCTCGGCGTCCCGCCGGGCCAGCCGGTCGAGGACGTCGTCGCCGCAGAAGAAGGACCGCGACAACAGCAGTGGCGGCGGTGGTGGGAGCAAGAAGGACAAGCAACTCGTGGTCGTGCGCAACCCCGGCGACAGGGGCGCATTGTCAGTCATGCTCCAGATCGCTGCTGCCATTTGAGACCTTCCCATCCCACACAAAGCACAAACTCAACCACCCCTTGCTGTGGCTCTGAGAAAAAGAAGAGAAACGAGTAATTTTCGTCTTTCCCTCAAAGCCCCACATCGTCGGTGATAGCCAGACGACAAACACAGACAGACACACACACACACACACACTAACCGGGGCTTTTTTTGTTGAAAACCCGCCAACAGGTCACTCAGACCACGGTGCGAGCTAAGGAAATCTCGGTCCCCATCCGGCGACGAGTCGATCACCGCGAGCGCGAACCCGAGCCCGAGTGCGAGTCCGCGGTCGTCGATGGACTTGGTTCCGTCCTTTCTTTAGAGGGGTCTTGCGGCCGTAGGATGGATGGGATAACACCCAACCGAGCCGCCACTGCCAAGGGTCGAGTCGAGTCGGGAGGGAGTACACGTTCTGATGGGAGGGAGGTGGGGGTTGAGTCCTGTATTGTCGGGTTGGCTTATTGCTTCTTATTCTTCCTCTTTTTATGGTCCATGCTTGCCCTGGTTGCATCTCTCTGGTTCTCTGTTCATCCATTTCATCACTGTTTTGTTTGGTTCAACCCATCCATGGCCCTCCCGCAAGCCGGCCTCCCTCTTGCTCGTACTCAACATCCTTCTTGTCAATTTTGTCGCTGGCTCGTTTAAACATAAGTTTCATCTGGATTTTTGTAGTCTTGTTGGGTGCGTCTTGGTTTGTTTTCACGTTGTCTGACTTCGTCTTTGGATTGAATTCATGTTGGGACTTGGACTAGATGGATGAGGTTATGACTTTGATGATTTGGATGGAATACCCGCATGTAAAACACACCAACACACACACACACACACACACACACATATCATGTAACGATTGGCATATGGCATCTCTTTCATTTTATTAGACTTTGTTTGGGCGCAAAGCCTCATGTCATGATGGGCGTAAATGACGTGTCATGACACGGGAGCGAGGGAAACGGTGCGGAGGGTTAGAGTCGGATATGTACTTCATGATGGGTGAAAGTGAGACGATTCGGTGGAAATTGGGTACATGTAATGGAAGCTGTTTTCGATGCGAATAGAGTTCTGCAGTGGATAATACAATGGTGGTATGCAGTGATGTTTAAGTGGTCCCCTTTCAGCTTGCCACCCTTGATGTCCGTTGGTTTCAGAACCTAATCGCAACCTTGGAAACCTGAAATTCCAGAAGGTGTGTAGTCTTCGAGGCTGTCTAGGGGTTTGCCTTCGTATTTATGTTTACATGTAGTGGTTGGGCCCCTATGACCAACTTCCCTGCGAATGGATGGGCAGAAACGCGAAGGCCCTCAAGGACAGCTTGAAGTGTCGAATGTCTAAGAACAACACAGTCGAGGACCAAACCACATGCAAGACAAGAGTCTTTCTGCTAGAGTTAGACCAGGATAATCTCCACGTGTGGCATCATCGCATTGCTCAAACCTCCACTCCTCGGAGCCATTCAGGGGTGATAGTTATGCTGTACAATCCCCACCGTGTTGCATCGAGAATAAGCTGGCCTCTTCCTATCCATAACGGGGAGAAGAATGCTATTTACCCTGACCTAAAATGCAAAGATTCTGGTCAAGGCGCCAAACTGGAGATCGGTGGGATTGTCAGCTGAATGCGCATACCTAGACTACGCTGAGGTTAGCCGTATGTCTCGGGTTCGGTCCCCGCCGGCAAGGACCAATCAGGGGACCGTGCTGCCCTCAACTCGTGGCGGTCTGCAAGCCAAGTCAGCTAGGCTCCGACACTGACGACGGTGAGCCGGAGCAGACAAGGATTACAACAGAGGAAGACACGAGGTCTTGATTTCGGCAGATCGTCTTGAAGGGTTGGTAATTTCAACCTGGGAAAGTGTTTGGTCCCGAGGGCAGGATTCCGAAGTCATGAATCAGGACGAGTGTGGTGTTTCGCAAGTTTGATAGCGACCGCACTGGTCCCAATGTGCAAGGGAAGGAGTAACACGGAAGTATGAAGGCGAGTTCGCTGAGAATCCTCAATTGATCACGGCCACCGAAGACTTCATCTGTCTAAGCGCTCTGAATCCGCAAAGCCCACCACCAAGTACCCAACCATCGATTACCTCAGCCGGGTTCGTCATATCTTACTCCACCATCCACGACTGCGTTCACTTACTCTCCCAGAACAAGTCAATGTCCTTGCCATCCAGCCACTTCTCCATCTCACCGTACATGCGATCCCACAACGCACCAGTGGCCGTCGGCAGGTCGAGGTCAATGTTGTAGCCGAGCCGGGCCTGGGCGGCGCCGAGGTACTTGTAGCCCGTGGGGATTTTGTCGAGCTCCTCCTTGGCGAACTTGGGCGCAGTGCAACCGTCGACAGGCACGACCTTGTCCTTTTCGTAGAATAGCTTGACGTACTTGGCCTTCCACTGCTTGGTGGCCGAGTTCTTCACGCAGAAGAAGATGAAGCGGCAGTCGCAGTCGACGTCAAACTCAGCCGTCTCCGCCTCGGGAGTCGTCCCGCGGGCGGCGGTGGCCGGGTCGAAGGTGAAGCGGTGCGTGATGGTCGCCTTCATCTTGCCAATGGCGCGGTCGTTGCAGTGGTTGAGCTCGACCAAAGTGCCGCACTCGCGGTGCATGATGAAGACGCCCTTTTCTTTGCCGGCCTTGGAAATGGAGATGAAGTCGTCAACGTGACGAGGGCCGCTCCAGGCTAAACCAAGCCGGGCGCGAGTCAGTTGCCGAATTTGCCGTGTGCAACAGCGGGCAAGGAGAGAGACTCACTGGTCCAAACGTGGGCGTCGTCCGTGAAGAGATCGCGGTAGTTCTTCCACTCTGAGGAATCACGGTAGACGGGCCATCCCTTGCACAGCTCCGAGACGGCGAAGCGGTCAAGGAGCTCCTCGCTGGTGCCGTTAATGTGCGAGTAGCACTTGGTATGAGGATCGGCCGGAGATGTCATGGTGAAGTCTGAAGTGGTGGTTGGAGAAAAGTGTATGAAGAGGAGAGGTTGGGAGGATGGCAAGCCTGGCGGGAAAGGATTTTCTGGCGGAAGATTTGGTGCGAGATCTGGAGGAGGCTTCTTATTAAGAGACGTGAAATTGAAAATTTGAAAAGATTTCACTGGCAAACATTGGTCGTGCTTTGCCCATGTTGCTTGCTCTGCGGTGTGCTTATCGTTATAGTTGAGACAGAAGGAACAGCCCCTGCTAGTGCTGGTCCCGTTCACCGAAAATGTTCGCGTGCTCAGAGAAGATCTGGAAGAAGCCAGGAAGCAAGGGCTAACACAGGTCAAGGGCTTGCAGGTGATTCCGATTCCAATTCTGGCCAGGCCTGGCAGCTGAAAAGGCCATGGTTTTGGCTGTCAGGCCGTAGGGGACAGACGGACGGAATAAATCTCACGGGTAAGGTCAGGTAAGATGACTTGGTTCCAGTTCACTGGCGATGACCTTTCGAGCAGCATAGGTACTAGCAGAACCCCCAGCCAAGGTCACCAAAAGTTTCTCGAATGGCCACGGGCAGTTTAGAACCATGCCGCCTGCCATTTGTTCTGTCGCCTGGGAGATGGTTTCCAGAAAAGCTCCTGTAACAAACGATTCTAATCATTTGAGTCCTGTCATCTTATAGTCTGCGTGCGGGCCTGGTCGCCGGCAGTCGGCCGGGCTGCGGTGAGCAGAGCCGCCATGTCATTCGATAGAGGATGCCAGGGGTATGGGACCGGCCGAGCGGGACTGACAGGCCGGCTGCAGCCAATGCCGCCTCATTGCATTGGCTCTTGCTCACTTGACTTGGCTCTCCTGCTGTGCGCTCTCACCGCCGATATGAGTGGCAGAAAACGATTCGGAGCCATGCAGGTGGAAACTTTGGCGCACGGATGCAGGCCCGCTCGCCCCAGTATGTGTTTGCTTCACCCAGCTGCGGCCGCATGTACCTTGATAACTGCATGTGAAGCGAACGAGGGTTAGGGTATGGTGAGGCTGGCTCTCGCCTGTCAACTCCCAGCGAACCCCGCGATGGGCACGCCACATGCCAAAAGGTTCCCGTCTTCCACCCGATGCCTGATTACTGATCTCAGTCAAACTTCACGACGCAGCAACACAGCGTTTCGATTCACATTGTTGGCTTCGAACTGTCCATTTTCCGACGACACCGACTACACCGACAAGACAATCCACTCTCCCCCGATCATGGCCGACGCCGTCAACCACATTTCGTCGCACAGCGACTTCGACAAGCTCCTGTCGACCACACGATACGTGATCGTCGACTTTTACGCCGACTGGTGCGGGCCGTGCAAAATGATCGCTCCCCACTTTCTCAAGATGGCCACGACATACTCGATCCCGGGCTTCCTAGTCTTCGCTAAAGTCAACGTCGACAACGTCGGGTCGGTCGCGCAAAAATACGGCATCACCGCCATGCCCACGTTCATGTTCTTCAAGGAGGGGAAACAGGTTGCTGTCAACGGCAATGTTACGATACAAGGCGCGAATCTGCCGACTCTGACACAGGCGGCCGAGAAGATGGGGAAGCTGGCCAAGGAGAAGGCTGCCGCCGCGGCCGCCGGGAGCTCATAGAGAGACGGAGAGGCCGTCAAGCCAGTGATGCCTCCATATCGCCAGACTCGAAGGGACAGGCGGATTTAGTGTACAGTTCTGAAAGATACCCAAGAAGTTTTGTTGACAAACCGCGGGCCCGAATGGCCACAACCGCGTCCTGACAAGTTGGCAATAGACCTCGTCCATCCACTCCCAGCTTACCCTCCGACTTGACCTGTCTCCTGTATCATCCATACATGCTGGCAAGTTTCGATGAGAATTGAGAACCGCTTCGTTCGTTGCAGCAACCAACGCCACTGAGGACTTGGATCCTAACCATAGACGTCAGGCTGCCGGGTGATGTCATAGCACCGTGCCCTGCATCCTTTCGCCGACTGCCGATGCCAGCCCCAACTATCTTAAATCGTCCCATTGACGAAAAACACCTGTTGCTAATCATTGTTCCGTAATTTAGCAGGCCCATTACGATAACATCGACAGCCATCCTTTTGTCCTTCAAGATCTCCCGACATTCGTGCGGACCGCTCGAGCCTGAATTTACGCCTTGATTCCGACAACCGCGAGACCTGCGAGCAGTACCACCTGGCTGAAGCGAAATGGCCGACCACTCTCCGAAACGGCCTGAACACGAGATACGACCGGCGAGCCATTCAGTTGCCGACATGGGAACCCAAACTGAAGAGGAGGAAACCTCAGAGCGACAGAGGACATCCCTCGCGAGGGCCCGAAGTTCCGCGCGTGACAAACAGATTTCCCGACGAGGGTCTGTTAGGGAGGCCAAAATCGTTACAACGTCCAAAGAGAGGTCGGAGCCCGCGCACCACGACCATGACCGTGAAGGTGTGCCTGCCTTGAGGCTCGATATGGACCTAGATGTCGACATCAAGCTCCAGGCCAAGATCAAGGGAGACCTTGAGCTCTCTATTCTGTAGGTGGTGCATACGTGGGACTGGTGTGCGGATGACAGTAGCTAACCTCGTCAGGGATTCGGAGCAAGCCAGCCGTCAACTCAAATCAAGGCGCCCGTCATCCGCTTGAGGTCGTCTGTTAGAGAGCAAAGCACGTTCGGAAGGCTGTTGAGTTCGCGGACTGCGAATCACCACGACCCTTGGAACGATAGGAGACAAGACACCCATGCTACGCTCCGAGTTTTGGCTGTGTGCTGGATTGCGCTGTCAATGTTTGACTCCTTCACCATACTCGGCACATTTACCATCCGACTCGATGCCACGATTCACAGACTTGGAAGTGGTGCGGTGCCTCGGTCAGCTGGTCACGCGACGCACCTGACTGAGTCCCACACAGTCACACCTCACACCCACGAGTCGCGCGCAACGCATAGAACACTCAACGATAACAGTCTGCAAAAACCTAAATAAAAGAGCACGGCCCAGCGCGGTGTCTTGCCTGAAGACATTTTCTTGACGCCCCAATACGGAACCGCGGTTTTCCTCGTTCGCATCTGATCGCATCTCAGTCGAAGTGGTATCGACCACACTAAATACTGCAGTTTCACCGCAATATTGGACCACCAGGTTAGACATCATGTCTTCATCCCGCCGGCCTGGAACCGGCTCGCCGACGCCGCGCTCCTCTGAGACCAAGCGCTCGAAGGAGCCGCCCGAAATCCTGCACCAACTTGGCCGCTTCGTCCTGGCATATTCCCTCAAAAAGCTGAGCGAGCAAAAGACCCAGTCCCAGCAACGATCGCGGAGCTCCCGCCGCGGATCGAGCCCCAGACCGCCCAGCAAAAATCGCGACCATTCCACCATCAGACGACGCGACAGCAGCCGCGACCTACCTCGCAGCGACAGCGGCGACATCCACACGCTCGCCAGCCAGCTCGCAGTCGGCGTGCTCGCCTTCGGAATCCGCCACCTCGCCCTGCGGCGACGCGAGGCCAAGAGCAAAGTTGCCGACGCCGCCTCCCAAAGCACCGGTACGACCAGCCGAACGATGAACAGCAACAGCACCCAGGACCAGGGCGTCAACGCCAACATCGACCCAGAACTGTCAGCCGCGCTGGACGCCGTCACCATGGAGCTGCAGGGTGCAACCGAGTCGATCCGGCGGCTGGCCTACGCCGCGCCGCCTCCGCTGCATCGCAACTGTGCGGTGAGGGACGCGCTGGTGGCGGATGCCGAGCGGTTGAGCGGGTCGCTGTCGAACATGCAGGCCAGCATCAACAACATGAGGAATTTGCATCCTGGGTTGGAGGAGCGGGTAGAGAAGAGACCGCGGGAGCGGCCCGGGGCGAAGGATGGGGAAAGACAAACGAAGAGCACCAGGCTTGGGAACCGGCGGGATGGAATGACGGAAGGGGTAAGGGAAAAGGGTAGAGCAGAGGAATGGGCTGAGCGGGTGAGACACAGCAAGGGGAAACGGGCAGAGGATTTGGCTGGAAGCGAGACAGATCGAAGGCAAAGGCAGTGTGGAGGAGACGATGGCGGACCTCACGACCGGTCTGTCGAACGACTCAGGAGATGTGTGAGCAGGCGAGATGATGAGTTGCAAAGGGGTCGCCGGCTTACGCCAGTAGAGCGGTGACGGTTCGACTCCAGGTTCGGATTGGGACTCGACTTCAGGGGTCGCAGTTTCGGACTGCGGTCCGCCGAGTTTGGCGTTGACCTAAACATGGCCGCCGGGCACGGTCTCTACTTCATGATCCTCCCTCATCCTTGGATTCGGCAACGTCAACCTGGTCCGTTTTACCGCAAGATTGGCCACCGCCTGGTGACGCTCCGGTCCCTGATTGCAGGTGCCTATGCGGCCAGCCATCGCATGTTTTCACCCGGGCTCCTATCATGATGTACTGTGGCACAAACACCTCCCCCTCTGTCCGGATTCGCCAATCAGACGTTCCAACCTCTGGTCTCCCGTCGTTTGTCTGCAGCACGTTCGGGCTCCCCAACCAACGAAAAACGGCCTGCTGGCCCAATACCTTCCGACCTTCTCCTCTGGCCCACTCGTCCATTGGCTCTCGGCCACGTTCCGCCATGACATCCCCACAGCTAATTCGCCAGACTTCGCCAGACTCGTCTAGCCAAGCCCTGACTCCACCGGCAGCCCCTCATCAATGGCAAACATTACACTGCAATGCAACAAGCCCGCATGGCTCAGTGGTAGAGCGTGTCACTAGTACTGGGGTTTCTTTCAAAGTTCCTTGGTTACTGGGGAAATGACAAGGTCGCTAGTTCGATTCTGGCTGTGGGCACATAATTTCCATCGGTTGGAAAATTTTTTTCCTCGTTTACTTTTGCCTGCCCTTCACTTTGTGAGGCAGATTTGGCATTCTGGGCCATGGTTCTGGGTCGATTCTACGATTCTGGCCGTTGGCAAACAACCCCTGAATTGGGTTACAGTCCTCCTTTGTCTGGTTTATTTCTTCCGGGATCACTTTCGGAGTGATTCAGTGTCGGGGACATGGTTCAGGCCATGGGGTTAATCAGCAGTATGCGAATGGGGCGGCGTCAGAAAGGGGTTGTTCCATTCTTGCCGTCGACATACGTGTAGTCAAGGGGGAAGAAGCGCGGGAGACCATCCTGTTGCTGGGTTGGATGCGAGGGGTGGTACGAAAGAGCTGCCAATGGTGAGGGCAAGGGCAATTGAACAGGACGAACGGATGTTTCTGCACATATACATACCTTGCATAGGTACTTTAATTTATACTGTCTCTTTCCACGCTGTTGCCAGACGCCATAATTTCTGGCCGATCTGGCTCCCTTAGGAGCCTTACCGTGACATAAACTTAATAATACAACATCGCCCCTGCGAACAAAGGCAAGAACATCACGTCCATCCCAACGCCAGCAACATCAGCACCACCTGCGGCAGTATCCGCCGCGCTCTGGGCAGAAGCAGACCGTGGCGCAGCAGAGATATGCGACCCCACGCCCTTGAGCCCATCGATTGCACGTTGGACCTTCTGCTCTGAGTACTGCCGTGGGACGGCCGCAGCCGGGGGACGCGGACGGACGAGTGTCGAGTGGTAGCGGTACTAGAGACAGTAGAACAGACCTACGACAAACACGGCCAAGAGCACGCCAACTGCGCACACCGATTATCGTTTCCTCGTTTGTATTGAACTAGTAATGATGCGTTGCGTCCCAATACCTTGGATGTGTGCTTCAGATTCCATGTCAGTATAGAGAATAGGGTACCTTAGGACTGACGTGGTGTCTGTGCCCTGTCCGAGTCGGTTCGGACTCGTCCCCCATCTGATCATTTTGGGTTTCTTAGAGCCGCCGTCTCCTGCAGAAGTGGAATTGGCGCCAGGTCTGCTTGCTGGTTGGGGGCCTGGCACTGCCACCGCCCTGGGGCCCGTTAAGAGAGTAAGGGCGTTTGGGGCGTGGAGGACGGTGGTGGCGGCTTGTTTTGGGTGTGGGATTCAGAGGGCGCGTGAGTGCGTCGCGCGAGGCCCGGGGTTTGTGTGGATTGTGTGGATGGTATAAGCCCGTCGGTGTGGTGGTGCACGTGGCGGGGTGGTGGTGGTGATCCGATGGTAGCATTGAGCGCTGAGACTGGACGGTAACAGAACTTGGAAATTAAGAAAGCGGAGCGTGGGATATACATCAGGCACAACCAACTGAGCCGATGGGTTGCTCCTCGAATTCGCGTGGCGGGTGTCATGGGACGGATGTCGGCCAGTGTGGGAGGGGCAAATCGCTCGTCGATTGGATAAGGTAAATAAAATGGAGGCTTGGAGGTAGGAAGAACCTGAAGCCTAGGAGGATAGTGACCGCAACAAAGTCTCCGGTTACCGAACGTCTCGGAGGGTGCGCAGAAGTCTTCAAGACATCAACCTCGGGGCCGGGGCATGCACACTTTTCTCACCGATCCTGCGGGAGGATGATTGCAGGGCGACACTCGACGAAGGCCTCGCGAGTGCTGACCAGAAGTATCGGATTGACCAATCTAGGCGTATATGGCCGCGTTTGACGGGAGCAGGGCTACAGAGGTGCAGCAGCGTAGAATGGTTTGTTAGGATAATAAGGATTATAGCAGCATTAAAAGCAAGTGCCAAGTGCATAGAAGTGCACAGAATGTTGAGAAACGCGTGCTATGAATTGCCAGGCTGCAGAAGCATCAACCGGGAGCCAGCTCACTGCCTGTTTCGGGCCAATGACTGCATGACAAGCCCTGTGAGGCGAGAAGGAAGAGGCCAAGTGACGGACTCGGGAACACGGCAGGCTCACGCGTGTCCTGCCCCGGCCCTCCAAGTTGTCGGTGGTCGCTCGAGTTGCGAAGATGGGGAGGTGATGTTCGGCCGGCGAAGACTCCTCGATGCTCAACGAATTTATGTATGTTGGAGCTTGACGCCATCTGACTTCTGGTCGCTCACTCTAGATTGAACGGCTCGGTTTAGACAATGTTCAAGATCGGGGGTTGGTCGAGTGAGGGCCGGCAGGCAGGAGCCCAAGTTTGAGATTAGGGTGGCAACAGACGATGACTGCGGGGACTTCAGAGGCCAGACAACTCATCAGCACGACGATGGAAGCGTTACAGTACATCTGAAGTGAGGCTATCATCCGACTGGTCTCGGCCATGGACATTTGATCCGCTGGTGAGTGACTCCGTGCTGCGAAAAAGCGAATGAAGTGGAGTTTTGGCTTGAGACGGTTGAGTTGCTTGCGGCGATGCCAATGCTTGTAAGGTTTCCGGAAGGCAGCTGGGATGTTGTCGTCGGCAGCATCGAACCGCTCGAACCTCACACAATCAGACACTTCTCCCGCATATTCTTCAACTCCAGCAACCAGTTCCTCTTTCCCCGACCCGCCGGGTCCTGATCCCTCGCCTGCCAGAGATCCTGCATCTTCCGCACCGCCGTCCGGATGTACCCCCACGGACATATCAACGGGGCGTTCTCCCATACCGTCTCCAGGCGCTCGGTACACCAAGCGCGCTGGGCGGGGTCGTCGGTCTGGGCGCCGACCAGGAAGGTGGGCCACATGGTGCCCTTGAACATAACGTGGTCGACAGGCACGGCAGCCAGGTGGTCGAGCACCTCCTGCACGAGCAAATCCACCGCCGAGGAGGACGGGGCGGCCTCCGGGACGGCGAGGAGGACGTACAAGCATGCAGTTGCGCGGTGGGCAAGCGCTAGGTCGACGCGGATGCTCAAGTCGTCCTGGGAGGAGAGGCCGCGGATGCTGTAGACCCACTCCACCACATCAAATGCCCTGGCTCGGTCGACCAGGGAAAGGGCCTCTAGGACTTTGGCTTGTTCGGAGCTGGTGGTGGTGGTGGTGTGCAACAGTTTGCTGGCCGACAGGAGAATCTGCAGGATCTCGGGCGGACAGCCGTGGTAGCTGTAGGGCTCGGCGCGCCTCAGGATGGACAGAAAGTTGGCCAGGTCGTGGTCGGCCCATGAGTCCAGGGCCACGCCGCTAATGGCGGACCCCGTCACGCGGTAGGTGAGGCAGTCGGCGGCGATGGCGTCGACGCAGGCCCTGAGAGACGGGTCCAGGCGGGACATGGGGTCGCGCAGAAGGAACGGCATGAGGGCGCTGGCGGCTTCCATGTGAATTTGCCAGCCGCCCTTGCCCGAGTCGATCAGGTCGAGGTTGACGAGGAAGACGATGGCAGCCAGCACCATGGCCCGACTTTCTGGCGTCACGCCGTCGACGGCGGCGCGGAGCAATCGGATGGCCTTGTCCTTGGCGACCAATGCATCAATCAGCTCCGGGGCGGCTCCAGCCTGGTGGTCGTTGGGATCGCCGCGGATCGCGTACAGGTGCATGGCGCCTGTGGCAACAATGATGGCGTTGAGGAAGTCGAACTTGCTGGCCAGGGGGATGAGGGTGCGGTAGGGGTTGCGGTCGGGTTGGTCAAATGAGACCAGGTCCCGACACACGGCCGTGGCGACTGTTACTCAGTTGTGAGTATTCAGGCAGCGACTCGACTAGCTGAGTTACATGTGGCTTACAGTGATGGACGTAGTGCCTTGCCGTTCGGTTGAGATGATTCAGCAGCGGATCCAGGAGAGACGGGTGGACGGAGAGTGAAGAGCCTTCCCAGTCACCTGCTGCATCTACTCTCTTACGGTTCATAGAAGTCAACTGCCTAACCAGACGGCCGCGAACAGCTGGGGCATTGGCCCAGCGGAAGAGGGTACCATAGCCGAGACATTCCTCACCGCGAATCCAGCATTTCCTGCACGACGGATGCGATTTGTCACAACGAAGACGGCGGCGGCGGCAGTTGTGGCAGGCCTTGGACTGTGCTCCTACCGAAATAAAGTCGGGTTCGGGCATAGAGATGGCGGATGGTCAGACCCCGTCCCAGTCCATGCGGAGGAGGGGGTTGGGCCTCGATGTCAAATGTCGTTGGACTGCTGTTCGTTACCGTCAGCGGGGCTTCGGTTTCGCGAGAAGCGTGACAGAAATGCGCAGTTCAAGAGTCGGAACGTGACGTTTTCGGCACGCCACTTCGGGCGTCTCGGCATGCCACCCCGACCAAACCTCTCCGCGATGCCCAGACCGCGCTAGATCAAAAACGGCATCAAAACTGCACAGGCTTCCTTCCAACTTGCAGCCTTGCACACTTTTAGAGCTCCCAGCCCGCTTAGAAATCGAGAATGATCTGGTCAAAGTTGCAAATTCATCAGCAAAAGGGATAGCATCCCAGAATTTAGTCGGCGGAAGTCAGTATCTTGGAACGTATAGAGCTTACTCTTGGAGTTTCTAGGAGAGAGACATTAGAAATGGCGTAATTGTCTGGTGGGGCCTTCATGATACACGCTAGCCCGAACTGACATCAAATTCTCAACTGCTGCAGTTCGCGTCTCCATGAGTTTCGAGGACAAAAGTGTGACTAATGGTTTTTGCCTGCAGCACCGTGTTTTGCTGTATCCACAGCCATCCAATTTCAGTTGTATAAAAATGCAGGGCATCCGACATATATGTAGTTTTGTTCCAGCAGTTAACGTTAACATTATTGGGTGGCTATGCGAACTGTATTGTCCTTGCCATTCCTTTGCCCGCCACCACAGCAACCACATAAACATGACGGGCAAACCTGAAGACATTGAGAACAACAACCTGAATACATCGGGCTCGGACGACAATGAGGCCGTCGACCTGGAACTGCTCGGCCGCCAGAGGCCTGCCGTGTTTCGAAACACAGTAATTGAGATCTTGTTTTGCAGTTCCCTGCTCGTCTCCATGTTCATGTCGGTAGGTGTTCACCGGACCTGAATAACACTGAAAGCAAACGAGATTTGCTGACCGCCCAGGAATTCTTCATTTCTGGCTTCAACATCATCCTGCCCACCGTCGCCAAGGCCCTCGATATCCCCAAAGGCTCCCAGACATGGCCTGCTAGCGTCTTCTCCCTCGTCACGGGCTCGTTTTTGCTCCCCATCGGTCGCCTCGCCGACATCCACGGGGCCTACATCGTCTTCAACGCCGGGCTCGTGTGGTTTTCTATCTGGTCTCTCATCTCCGGGTTCAGCGTCAACTATCAGATGCTCATCGTCGCTCGTGCCATTGGCGGTTTCGGTCCCGCCGCCTTCTTGCCCACGAGCATCATGCTGCTCGGTAAGACGTACCGTCCCGGTCCCAGGAAGAACCTCATCTTTGGCCTCTGGAGCGCCTTCGCCCCCATCGGCTTCTACCTGGGCATTATTACCGGTGGCGCCACCACCCAGTACATGTCGTGGAGGTGGTACTTCTGGCTGGGTTCTATTGTTACCTTCATCGCCTGCGTTGTCTCCCTCGTCATCATCCCCCGCGACAGGGCGCAGACGCGCGCCGAGAATGCCCACGTCAAGATGGATTACTGGGGCACCGCAACCATCGTGCCGGGGCTGATCCTGACCACCTTTGCCATCACCGACGGCGCCCACGCCCCGCAAGGTTGGCGGACCCCTTACATTATTGCCACCTTTGTCTTGGGCGTGCTGTTTCTCGCGGCCGCCGTCTATGTCGAGGGCTGGGTGGCCGAGCAGCCGCTGCTGCCGTTCGACCTCTTCAAGCCGAAGTACATGGTGCGCCTGTCGGTCGCCCTGTTCTTTGCCTATGGCGTATTTGGCATCTTTTTGTTCTACGCCAGTTTCCAGTAAGTCTCTCAGCTGCCTCTCTTTCCTGGCCAATGAAGCAGGCAAGCTGACACTCCTCAGCATCGGCGACTACATGGGCCAGTCAGCCCTCACAACCGCCGTTTGGTTCACCCCCATGGCCGCTGGCGGCCTCATCCTTGCTACAGTCGGCGGCTTCACGCTGCACCTGCTCCCCGGCAGGCTCCTGCTCATCATCTCCGCCTGTGGCTATCTCGTGTGCTGCTTGCTCTTTGCCTTTGCTCCCATCGACGCAAACTACTGGGCCTACGTCTTCACTGCCATGCTCGGCTCCACCATCGGCGTCGACATCACCTTTGTCGTCAGCAACGTCTTCATCACCACCAACGTCGCCCGCGAGAGGCAGGGCATCGCGGGAGCTCTGATAAGCAGCTTGCTCTTCGTCGGCATCAGCTTCTTCCTCGGCCTCGCTGACCTGGCCGTGTCTGAGGACGAGAGCAGGGGCGGCGCCCAAGGCCACAGGGTCGCCTTTTGGTTTGCCACGGCCTGCTCGGCAGTCGTGCTCCTGCTCTTCTCTACCATCAAAATACCAAAGGCCAAGAGCGACTTGACTGTAGAAGAGCGGATGCGCAGGGAAGCGGCGGCGACGAAAGAAAAGGAGTCTGGGCCGGCGCCACAGCCCGAGGCTATGTTGTCATGAGAGAGATAGACGGGGTACTTTGGGATACGGGATAGACATCATTGTATATTGGATAAATATAAACTCCTGGGATAGATGTAGTCGAAATCTTCTACCGCTGTAGTTACAGCTCATCCCTCACTCGCCCCTCCTCCAATTCCATTCTGGCCCTCTGCCGTTCCTCGCGCTTCTGCCTCCGCTCGTTCCTCTTGATGGTGCGATGCATCCTCTCCCACAACAACCTCGCCCGCTTGGCGTCGTCCGTCTCCGTCACGGCCATGGCCGTGATCTTGAATGTGATGTCTCGCTTGCCCAGGTCGCGGTGCGGCTTAGTGTGGTCCACGGGCCACGCAATGGTTGCGTGGTCGATGGCTCGGGGTTTGTACTTGGCCAGGTTGTTGAAATCCCCTGTGATTGTCAGCAGCATCCTTGACCCTTCAAGACAACGAAGATGGGCAGCTCTTACGCTCGCAACCACTGCCCTTCGACACCCAAAGCGGCAGGATCTCATACATGGCCCCAGCCGGAAACACCACAATCCTATCCTCATCCTTTACCTCGGGAACGACGTCCTCTTCTGTCTTTTGCGTTCCATCTTCTAGACCCGCCGACATGGAGACATCCTGCGCTGTCGCCGTCATCGCCGTTCCCAATGGCGGCGGCGGCGGCGGCACCGTCCCATCCACCTTCTCCCCCTCCCGCTTCGGCTTCCCAAACACCCCAAATAACCACTTCCCCTCATTCGTCACCGCCCCATCCCTTTGCTGTTCCTCAATCCACCCCCTCACCGCCACCGGCACATCAACCCACTCCATAACCACTACCTCCCTGTCCAACCCTTTATGATCCACCCCGTCCCAGCTACCGACATACTCGCGCCGCGCCAAAAATTCCTCGATCGCCGTCTGCCAGGGAGCTAGGCCCAGCGGGGGCGTCTCGGGCAGGTCTTTGAGCTTGTACATCTGTGCGTGGAAGGTGGCTGAGGCTTTGCAGTGGACGTCAAAGCCCATCGGGTCGGTGCCGTCGTCAGGGAAGGGGCGGGACCAGTGGAAAGTGGGGACGACGCCGTGCTCGAAGACATCCCAGTTTATGGTTGCTTGGGTGAAGAAGGGGTAGTAGAAGGGGAGGCTGAGTAAAAGAAGAATGGTGGTGGTGAGGGTTTTCATTGTGGGAGGGTAATCAAGTGGTGGTCAAGGGGTTGGTTGTCTATGCCAGTGATGGTCTGTGGGGTGGGGGATGCTTGGTGTTTGAGTCGGTTAGGGGTATATCTCAGGAGTAGTAAGACTTAGCAACATAAGCTTCAGCGACGTTTGTGATCCTTGAAACCAGGGAGTGACGGCCGCTTGTAAGGCTGGTCGTCAGATTTAAGACACTGCCGCCGGCATGCATGGCATCTTGTGCGCTCTTCGGCTATTCAACTATGACAACTCCCGAGGCTCAAGTCTTGGTCGAATGATTGATACAGGCTAATTGCCGCTCAAAAACCTAATTATGCTTCCATTTCCATTCCCCCCCACGCTGCGTTAATATGTCGTTTATTGCGATCCTGAGAAACACGTGTCCAATATACCAGAGGCTCTGCGTATGCGTGAATTGTAGAGTATGATGTAACTACTGGGTCTATCAAGTTTTGCCATTCTCGAAGATTCGTGTTGACAGTACCCCACGAGACCAAGGCACGGCATTTCAACATTACGTTATACTTGCAATCAAGGCTGATAATGGTAGGCTCAGAAGATGCCCAACTAGTTGAGTCCCGCCCATTGGGCCATTTTGTGTCATAGAGGAATATCTCTTGATTATCGCAGTTATGAGGTTCGGGGACCGGGCACGATCGTGTCTGAAACCAAGCACACGTCAAGACAGCACAGCTGCTATGATAACTTTCTAATTAGCGAGGGAGCACGGTAGCGCTGTACACAACGTCAAAGAGTTCCTACACGCCACTGCCTTTTCTTTTTATTTTATTTATTTATTTATTATTGATTTAGTTTTTGTTTCGGGGGTTTTGCCGACGAGATTGGGTATTCCGTGGCATCAAGTTGAGGGGAAATACCGTGGCCTGCAACACAACGGGTTTGCTGGCGTCAAGAATGAGGCGCCATCAACACACGCACTAGCCCAAAGCAAGTCAGGTGTTCTACGGACTGCTGTGGTAATCAGCTCGGACATGTCAGTATCTCGTGCGAATTCCCCGGTTCCCTTCCCAATTCAACTTCCACGAGAGCTGCGTCCGCCAATCTAACCTCAGTACCAATCATGGCAGATCCGCTCTCGATTACAGCCGGGGTTGTCTCCCTAGCGGCGGCGGCATGGAAGATCGCGAGCAACCTGAGAGTCTTGCAGATGAAGTTCCAACAGGCTCCAGCAACAGTATCTGGGCTGATTACGGAGTTTCAAGCGACGACGGCTGGTCTTGGCCAGCTCCAAGTTCTCTTACAGACAAGGAGGGATATCCTGCGCATTGGTCCAGGGGAGGCCGAACGCGCGCAGCTCATCCAATGCCTCGAAGCCATGGTGGTTGACATGGCCCAGGTGTTCGCCCGTCTGAACACAGAACTGGACAGGCTCAACAAGGGAGAAACGTGGCCTATAGCCCTTCGCATGCGCTTCTTCTGGGTCGAGAGTGATCTGGTCGAGTACACGACTCGGATCAAAGACCAGCGATCATCGCTCTCATTCCTCCTCCAGACGATTCAGTTGTATGTCACCTCTGACTCGTCCCCGCCTAGATACCGTACCGTACCTACCCAAATAGTTATTGTGGCAGCAAGCTCACCCCTTTGTTACAGGGTCAAGACTAGCGACATACATCTCCGACTGCAATCAGATTCGCCTGGTTTGAGCGCGCTAAAGCGGACTGCGACGAAGGCCAAGCAATGCCCGCCGGCCCCCTTCCTCGTTTTCAACAAACAGATCCGCAGGCGGCGGCTGGTCTTGAGCGCTTGGATTTGGACGGCATCCTGCAACGGGACAAGGCCTTTCCGGACCTCGACAGCATAACGACACACCCCAACGACACGACTGCATCGCTCTTGGACAATCAGAAGGGAGGGTGGCTGCGGTGCAACCCGAAAAAGCCACACGTCACAATCAGCCACCATCCGCTAACAACGGGCCACAGGGGGCAACACCAGCTGCAACGCGTCGGAATGTGACACCGACTATCGTCTTTCACGAGCTGCATCACAGCGTCTCGAACAACGACATTGATCGTGTGATTACGCTTCTTGACCTCAAGCATGACCCGTTGGGACTGCTACATGACCTATATGGATTCTGCCCAACGCGAAGAAGTCGTCACTTGCCCTTGCGGCTTACTTGGGCCGCGAGGAGATCATGCTCATCTTCCTGGAGCGAGGTTTTGCTTGGGCCCTCAACCAGCTTATCGGCACCGACCTGCCCCCTCTGATTGCCGCTGCATATGCTGGGCACGAGCGGATGGTCCGTCTCCTCCTATCCTGGCATGCAAATCCGCGACTCAGGGGACCCGGAGACGCCACTGCTCTCTTCTGGGCTTCCTCTCGCGGGCACGCAGGCATCGTGCACCTCCTCTTGACCACCACATCGGCCCGTGCCGACATCAACTTCCCCACCTCCAAGGGTTTGACGCCGCTGATGGCGGCGTCGCAGTATGGCAGGACAGAGGCAGTCCGGATTCTTCTGTCCTGCGGCGCGGATACGGCAATGCTCAACGCCAAAGGCCAATCCGCTCTCCATCTTGCGTGCCACGCCGGACATTCCGCCGTCATAGGCCTTCTCCTCGGGCACAATACGGCCGTATAAACTCCAAGGCAGTCGCTCGTTCATTGTCGATGCAGGGGGGAAAGCCGAAATTGCTTTCGTCGTCGACGACTTGGAGTCTTGATAGAGAAATTCAGAAGGATCAAAATCGTATTGGACTAAATATGCAACTTCATTCAGCATATATATCGACTCGGAGCATATATATCGACTCGGAGCAGTCAAGGCCGTAACACGCGAGTCCTGGAAGGCTGAAAGCAACTAGGAGCAGGAAAAACGGTGGGTTTTGGTATATTGATGATCAGCAGTCATAAATCCGTCCATGCTTGACAGGACACCGAACTCGTGTCTCGGGTGCTACTCCGTACTGGCAGCACCGTAGCGAAGGGCAAACGTATCGCCCAGGGGTGGAATGTTGACGAATCTCTGTTTAACCTAACAGAGTCTGTTATCCTTATGCACCGGCCCTTGTGCTGGAGAGCAATTAGTATACCACCCCTAATGTCGTCTTGCACGCCACCCACCCCCTAGGAAACTTAGGATTCCAACACTGAAGACATTCAAGACTGACCCTATTCATGATCGCATGTAACACGAAGAAACTCGCTTCGCTCTGGACCCATAACCGTTGGGAGAACCGAGGCAAAGCTCAAGGCTTCAGGGGAAGCTCTCTTCGCCTTGTGATCGCCGAGATGTGCCACGACATGTTTCTTGGTCAAACAATGCAGCACAGCAAAGGTCAACTCCCGTCGGCTAAGATTCATGCGGTGTTGAGTAACTTCTGCCTCGTTCCCCTGGTGTTTAAGGACAACCCACGCAACTAGCAAGGGAAACGTGCAGTTTGATGCTACCCCTCGGCCGTTGCTCCTTGTTTTGCGACCGAGTGCGACGCGCTGGCAGGACTGGAGCGGGTACCCCTGAACGGCTGCCGACCTCATCAACCACAGTACCGGGGCACGTGGCTGGGATGGTCGAATCAGAATTGGAAGGTCGTTTTCTGGGCTGCCACTGGCCACGGCATCGGCTACAAACGCCACTACTCCAAGCCCGCACCAAGAGTATGATTGGCCACGGCACACTCGCACTCTTCAACACCGTAACGTCTATCACAATTCCTTCAGTGCATAAGATGGGCACAGGAGCCGGCAGTGGGAAGAGATGATTCCCCAGCAGGCAGCATTTCCAGAACAACAGTCAGCGGCAAAAAAAAAACGGTATCACGGTGACTGACCGTGACACAAGTGCAACATCGGCGCAAGTCACAAGCCAAGATGCGTGTTGAAGCTCTTCTCACCCTCCTGCCGGCGCTTGGCGCCCACGGCATCCGCATCATCCAATCCAACGACGATGGCTGGGCCGAGCAGTATCTCCGCTCGTTTCACAACGCCCTGGTCGCCTCGGGTCACGATGTGGTTTTGTCTGCGCCTGCCGAGAACAAGTCGGGATCAAGTAAGCCCCCTTGGTGATATGTTTAAGAATGCCAATGTTAACCCCTAGTATCTACTAGGCTCCCTCGACATCGAGCCCAGCCCGAGGACGACGGCCTGCCAGTACAACAGCTGCCCTGCCAATAGCGGCCCCATTGGGCGCAACTCAACTTCTCCGCGCCTCAACTGGGTCAACTCGTACCCCGTGACCTCAATCCGGTACGGCATCGACACCATCGCACCTCCGTTCTGGAACGGCCAGGCCCCCGAGCTGGCCGTGACGGGCCCCAATGTCGGCAGCAACCTCTACCTGCAGGTCCCCTTCTCGGGCACAGTCGGCGCCGCCGTCTACGCCGCGAAGGAAGCCAAGATTCCCGCCATCGCCTTCTCCGGATCCTCAGGCGGCACCCTGGCCTGGAACTCGAGCCCGGAAGCCCAGCGCAGCGAGGTGTACGCCCAACTGGCCGCCACGCTCACTAACGCCATCATCGCCAGCGGCAAGCCCTACCTGCCCGAAGACGTCTTCCTCAACGTCAACTTCCCGGCCGTCGAGGGCGTGTGCACCCAGGCCGGCCAGTTCAAGTGGGTGCTCAGCCGCATCAACATGGGCCTGTTCTCGGACCGGGACATGGAGCTCTGCGGCGAGACGCGGCTGCCCAACGAAGCCTCGGTCGTCGGCACCGACGGCTGCTACGTCTCGGTCAGCGTGGGCGATGCCAACGACAAGACTACCGCGTCCGCCGACAAGCAGGCTGTCGTGTACAACAAGCTAAAGGGCCTGCTGACCTGCCTGCCGTAAGTGTACTAGAGAGGTGGGAGTCTGTTACTTAATATCATGTAATAGTCATGGACATGTAATGCAAACAGACTATATCAGGTCTCCAATGAATGGCTGCGCAGGCGCAAGATGCAGGTGACAACTTGCTGATTCTCGACTCACGTGAACCACTTCTTAAACCCTCGAAGCTAGAATAAGCTCGCTCTGCTGGATATACTCATGAAGATTTGTGAAACGGAAGCCATCCCCTCACGGCGCGGGCCCCTCCGCCCGGTCTGTGGCGTGGACGAGCATATCGCGCTGCATGAAGAGTCCCAGCAGGTTCCGCTGCTTCCACGGTTTCTCGGGCCTCGCCAGACACCAGTCGAAGTTGCGCATTAGCTGAACCACCAGCAGAGAGGGGGGTGTGTCAGCTCAAAGGGCTCCAATGAATCCAGTTAAGGATAGGGAGTAGCAAACAGTGTACTGCTTAACATACCTCAAACACAGTCTTGTAAATCTCCATAAGCGCAATCGGCCTCCCCAGACACTGGTACCGGCCATAGCCGAAGATCAGATCGTATGTCCTGTGCATGAGCGCCAATTTTGCCTCGTCCTTCTCCAGCAGCCACCGCTCGGGGCGGAACTCGTCCGCATCCTCGCCGTACACGCGCTTGTCCATGAGCACGGCGTACGCGGCATAGCTGACGTTGGCGCCGCCGGGGAGAAACACGGGATTGCCGTCCACCACGACCGTGTCGCCGCCGTCGGGGACCCTCTTTGGAAACGGGCCCGCGGTCGGGGGGTGGATCCGCATCCCCTCTTTGACACAAGCCTGCAGGTAGGGAAGGTCCTTGGCCTCGGCATCGGATATGATGCCCGGGACAGGCGGCGCTTTCCGCGCTGCGACAGCGGCGTCGACGGCGGCTTGGAGCTTGCCGTACACGCGCGGGTGCGTGAGCAGGTACAGCATGATCGACCGGATCGCCGTCGCCGTGGTGTCGGATCCGGCGATGAGCTGCAGAATCGCCTCGCCGACGAGCTCCTCGGTGCCGAGGCCGTGGCGCACAAACGAGGCGAGCATGTCGGAGCGCGTGTCGGTGTCTTGTTGCTGGAGCCGTGCCTCGATGCGCGTCCGGGCGTGGCGCATGACGCGCCCGAAGCCCATGCCGTCCTTCTCGGACGGCGCAAACAGACGGAATATCCAGGGGATTTGCATGATTGGGAGGAGGCCGATGGCTGAGAAGACGATTCCGAGATGGACGCCTGCCTCGAGTGACTTGATATAGGCGTACTTGTCCGTGTTGTCGTCGAGGTTGCCGAGGGACTCGCCCAGGCCGATGCCGTTGATGACGTCGAGAGCTAGGTATTGGAGCTTGACGCCGAGATCAAAGGATACGGCCAGTTCGGCAGTGGACAAATACTTGGATCGGATCAGGTGAATGAGTTTTTCGATGTATATGTCGACGGCGCCTTCAAGTTCCAGGTTTTCCTTTCCAGAGTACTGATCGGGCGATGTGTGAGCAACTCGAACATCAGGAATCATATGGTTGCGGATGGCCTACCCCGGGAGCCATCTGTTGTCTTCTCCGCATATGGATTGCTTCATTTGTCTCACTGAAGAGGTTGTCCTTGCCTGGCTGGAACCGAAACGCCATGGCGAACCAGGACGCTCGCGTGTAAGGGGATCGCACCGCGCTCATGTGGGAGAGGACCTCTCGAGAGCAAGTGATGAGGTCGTTGGGGCCGATCCGGGCAATAACTCCTGGGATCGTGGTTTATCAGATGTCAGGGGCAACAAAAACTCCAGGAGAAATTGACCTACCGTATTTGTCGCAAACGTCCTTATACTGGACGTGTAATTCATCACCCAGGACGGCAGAGGAGTGCCACAGCTCAAACCAGCCTGACCCAGGTGGCCCCTTAAAATGACGAAGCCGGTAGTAAGTCCGAACCTTGTAGACCAGGTAGACCACTAGGCCAGCCAGAGCCAGCGGCCACCTGTTATAGTACAACACGGATAACAGAGACATGATCCCATTGACGACTAGGGGAGTCGTGTTGGCGTTACAGAAACCGGTGGTCCGGTGATGGCCATGGGTAGGTGCAGGCCCCGACGACATGAACTCGTCGTGGGGTATTATGGGCTAATAAGCTAGCAATGGAGCTGGCTACAGCACTGGACGTCTTGCAAGCATGCCTGGCCTGGTTGTCTTCACACGGGTTTGCCGTGGTCACGAAGCACTGTACACACTGCAGTATGGCCAACGAATGAACGTACCTGTCGAACGCCTCTTTGCCCTTTAGCCAGCTCCTTGGGCAAATCGTGTTCAATCTCCCTACAGCCTTTCCAGCGTGGCGTTCCCTGGGCACGCGGGAAGCCACGAGGACAACCTATCAATCATCATGCCCCAGCACCGCTGTGATGTGGCGCTGAGGTGCTTGCTGTAGTGGCTTTCCAAACCGTGCTAGCCAATTCCGGAACTCCTAGTCGAAAGTCAGAACGAGTTCCTAGCGGAGTGAGATAGCCGAGTTGTGACCACTTTCGCAACTTCTATGCATCCCAAACGCCGGACGAAGCTCCAAGTCCTCTCTATGACGGCCACAATGTCATCCCGGTAGCGGAACTTGACGTATAGTTCACATTTGTTGACATGTGTCGAGCGCTCGACAATATTAACATTCAATTTGGCTTTGAGTCGTCTAGTCGCAGATTCAAGCCACTACCTAGGTATAGTGCGGTCAGCACTTTACGGTACAGTAATTATACCAACTTCCCGGCCCACGAGGGCGCGGTTTTCCTGTATAGTAAGTTGTTGAAGGTCCGGCACGCCCCAGGGAACAGCGGTGTAGGAATAATAATTATACCAACTTTGAAGCTAGAGGCGCAGCAGCGCACAATGGTACCTATGCTCCTAGGATATCTAGTGCCTTGCCCAAGGAAAAGGGTGATCTCCTTACTGCGTGAAACATGAATGTGGAGACAGTGTGGGGACTTGACGTCGAATTTGGATGATTCATAATGATTCATCCCGCAGACTTTTGAACTGGACAACTCGTCCAGATCTTAAATAACTAAGCCTTTACTATCTTGTATTCAACCTAAGGACTGAATACCATTCTCATCAAGCCTCCGCACAGCAATCCATGACATCTAGTGATTCTCTTAACTCATCTGGGTCCTCTCTATCAATCACAATGTCGACGGCATCAGCCCCATCCCGCCCCATCGTCTTCTACGACATCGCCATGAGTCCCCCAAGAGAGAAAACCTGCTGCTCCCCAAATCCCTGGAAAACCCGACTAGCACTCAACTTCAAAGGCGTCCCATACACGACTACATGGGTGGCTCTACCGGACATCGCCAAGGTCCGCACCAGCCTCAACGTACCAGCGTGTCGCAAGTTCGCCGACGGCAGCAACTTCTTCACGCTGCCCATAATCGAAGACCACGCCACCGCCTCCCTACTTGGCGACTCTTTCGACATCGCCGTCCACCTGCAACGGAAATACCCAACCTCCGGAGCGGGCGACCTCTTCCCGCCTCAGACACTCGACTTCGACGTCGAGCAGGATCCCGCCATGTTACTCGTCCCGCTGTCCGAGCCTCGCGAGAGTCACAGTGCATACCCGGAGTATGCCAGGTTCAACATGAAGGTGGACGCGGCATTCACCGCCTATGCGCAGCTCTCGGTCTTTGGGTTCCCCTTCGATCCGGCCACGGCCGAGGCCACCAAGGCCGAGTTCGTCCGGCGAGCCGGGGTGGCGCGCTGGGATGACTTTGCGCTGGTGGGCGAGGCGCGGGAGAGGACGAGAGAATCGTTTCGGAACACGCTGGGCGGTCTAGCCGGTCTGTTCTCGAGGGACACGACGGGGCCGTTTCTGCTGGGGACCAGGGCGAGTTATGGTGACTTCATAGTCGGGGCGTGGTTGCGCATGCTGCGGGTTACGCTACCGGAGAGCGAATGGGAGGATGTGAGAGGCTGGCATGGCGGTGTTTTTGGGCGGTTGCATGATGCCTTGGAGGTGTATGCCGAGGTGCAATAATAGTGTGTTTCTCAAAGTTAGAGGACGATAGGGAGCATACTGTAAGTTCCGTGTTCAAGGCGAATGCAACCGGACTGCACTGTGGCAGACGTCACTTCCGCTATCCCCAAGGTCCGAAGCCTCGGAGAATGAATTCGATTCCAGTCCTCCCTTCCTGACGAGAACAAAGGGGACAATTCGGAGTGCTTCTCCACATCCAGTCGACACCAAACACCAGGATTGCACCACATGACCTTTGTTTGCAGTCGCCGCAATGGGCAGTGTGGTTAGTTACAGTAGCTCTGTTGGGAGTGGCCTGATGATTTGGGTTTACGTAACACTCACCGTAACCTTCGTTTCTGCCCGGTCGACATTATGACTCGTGCTCGTAAACCCAAAGTGTTGCCGACTAGCGGCCTTGTCCTTCGACGAGGCCGCTTCCGGAAAGCGATAACAAGACTGGTGGAACCAACTCCGGCAGATGAAGGGGCAGGCAGCGCTATCAACTGGTGAGTGGCTGACGCCAGGCCTGGTGTTGGTGGCGTCGAAATGCATCCCTAGCTCCGGAGAAGACCGTCGGAGAGGGATCCTTTGTTGCTGATTCGAAAGCTTCATCAAAGCGTTCCAACTTCTAAGGAGGTATCCCAGCCAAGGAAAAACAACCCAACCAACAGCCAGGAGTCCCATTTGCGTCCTGACAACCATGATTTGTTCCCCATCAATGAAGTCTTGTGCGACCCAGGTCAACGGCCATGGAAATCCAGAAAGCAACTCCCACAGCAAGTGCACAACGGCAGCTTCTACCTGCTGGCCAACCTCAGCCGCCCACATCCTAGCCAGTTGGGGACTGCACGGCGTTCGCTCCCCGGAGTACCACACACTCGGTTGCTGCGTGTGAAACATGCCGAAAGCGCAAGGGAAAGGCAAGTAGGAAACAACCCTGAGCGACTTTGGACTGACCGGACCAGGCTGATACTGGAAATGTTGAAGTGCAATGCCGCGAGACCAACATGCAGCTACTGTCGCTCGGCAGGCAGAACTTGCGTGTACACTACAAGCCCGCAAGAGGAGCGCGGTCTCAAGCGCTGAAGAGGGAGCTCTTGGAAACACAAAGACCGAGCGACGATACTGTGCCAAGTCCTCCAACATCCGCCAACGGCCAGAGGCCGAGGCTAACGAGATTGTGAAGCGCATCCGGAGGGGCGAGGACCCGGAGTGCATTGTGCGTTTCATCAAGGAAGGCGACTTGCTTTTGCAGCTTGCCCTAGTCCCGGAAACACGATACCGATATATTTCCCCCTTTCTCGAGGAAATGCGGGCGTCTCTGATGCGACCGGAGAGCCCCTATCTCGACTGTTGGGTGTAGGGGGGTGTTTAGTAGTAGTGCCTTTACTACAGCTTCTTTCAGGAAACTGGTCTTGTCCAGTCGTCCCAGCTCCGGCGAATCACGAAGCCCCGATTCCAGGTCATACCACGCTGCTGAAGTGGTTGGGCCGTTGTTCAGCATCGTCAAACCGTCCGTGTGGACTACGGTTTCGTCGGACGACACTCTGATGCGGAACATGCTCGCAGATGTCTTCCTCAGGAACTACGAATGGGTCTCGTCGTTTCAGAAGGAGTACTTTTTGCAGGACATGTCGGCAGGGCCTACCGCCCCTCGCCGCTGCTGCTCCTCCTTCCTCCTGGCATTTGGCAGTGTAAGTCAGCCCGCAGCCAGGCCCCTTTCTTTGAGTTTCTGTGTGACGGAGACGCACTAAGCCGCTTGTTCCGAGTGACGGATGTCCTACCCCGGCCTGACAAAGCGTATGGGCACTGGAATCTGCGGAACCTGGGCTATCAAGTTCTGGCAGAGGCCAAGAGACTCTGGGAGGTTGAAATAACCAGCGGTCGTGTACGGCTTACAACCCTCCGAGCGTCTAGCCCGTTGCACCTCGTCCATCACCTCAACGCTATGGATCGCGTAAGCTTCTCGCTACACCGAGCAAGCCATGGAAATGGCGCAGCAGATTGGAATTTTCGGCATATCGATGGCAGAGGATAGGAGACAAGGCAGAAGCAACGCGAGAGCCTTCACGGCATGGGCGTTGTTCAATTCCCAGACGTGAGTCCTACAATCGTATCTCTTTTAAAGTGTATCTCTTCTTATCGGGGCTGCTTATTACTCGCGCCTTTCTCACGCCTGCATAGAGGGAAGTCCCGTTTCTATTAACGTCTGGCACGCCCAACAGCATTATATGCACGGCCAACTTCAAGCCGCCGTTTATTAGGTCGCCCCCGACGATACCAATACCTGACCCAGCCAGGAACTCCGAGTGGTATGGCCAGACATGGGTGCGATATCCCCTGGACGGGAAGCTGTACACGACCAGCTTCCCCTATCTATTCAAAGCAAGGTCCGACCTGGCGGCTCTCCTCATCACCGGCTGGCAGTTGATGGGTAATGTCAGAGACGAAAAAGGTTGGACTCCTCACTCGGTCTGCAGGCAGCCATGACCTTCTACGCTCGATTGAGGACGCGGTGCGATACTCTACCGGAGCCAGTTACCCCACACCGCATTACGTTTCCGGGTGAGTTCGTCTTGCGGTATGTACAATACGCCCGCTTGCTTCAGTTATTTCGTTCCTTTAACGGGCACGAAGACGACACCGGACGGCTAATCAACATTCTCTCCCCAGCATGAGCTACCACCGTATTGTCCTCCTCGCGCAACCATTCTGCCGCAATGGCCACCACGGCTCGACCCTCCTCCTCGCCACCAAGGGCGTCCACGAACAAGAACAAAACTACTTCGTCACCAAGGCGCTTCTCGTGACCCTCCGGGCCAGGATGCCCGCCCACGAAAAGAGGACGACGACCGGGGCGTCATGCGCCGGCAGATGCGCCACGTCAAGAGCCACTTGCTGCCGAGCGTTACGAGCCATGCGGATGATCCGGAGCTGCACAGGCTGCGGCGTCTGCTGGGGGAGGAGTTGGATTTGGAAGAAGAAGAGGGGGGTGTGGAGGAGGATGGAAGGGACATGGAAGGGGTGAGCTGAGCCAACATAAAGGATTACAGGGTTGGAAAAGCTTAGGATAAGTGTCGTATAGTTTCTGTGGGAGAACTTGCGTAAGAGCTGTCACGGGCTCGTGGAAGAGTTGAAGATCTGCAGTTGATGCCGGGGTCATGTTCATGTCGAACTAGGGCGGCGGGCAAACAATCCCTCCGAAGGAGGCGGCGCCGCCATTTGTTTCCATGGGTTTGGAGCTCATGGGAGACTACTGATGACACTCACAGCCATGCATTCGCATTGATGACATGGGCCGCTGGAGTTACTTTGGGCATCAAGACACCCCAGGTCATTGGTACAAGTCCAGTACTTCACCAAGTTGTCAACTGTGCAGGAGCCAGCAACGCCTGCCGACGTCGATATGATTTTACCTATGCAATGACCCAAATAGTCCATTAGACGGCTCCGCGGCCCGAGTCTCCTGGACAACAGTCCTGCACCTTTGGTCCCTCGCTGGGCCGCATCATCGCCGACTGACTGCAGAGCACGCTGGCGTGTTGGCCGGTCGCAATGATGAGTCGGGAAAGGTACCAGCAGCTCGGCAACGCCCAACACATATCTTGCCACTCTCATGATTGGACCTATCGTTGAAGGTCTAGTTGATCAGCGGTCGGAGGATATGCCGAGTCGGTCAATATTATTCCTCAGGGCTGCAGGTGGCATTCTACCCGCATAAGCGAGTGTTCTCTTCCGCATACCGGCCCTTGCAAGAGCGATACCGGGCCGAGGGTTTGGCGCAGCCAGAGGCCCGAGACATCCGACCAGGCGCCTACCGACTCACCGAGTAACTGCGTGCCATGGCTATCGACAGTTGTCGTCTGGGAAAGGAAGGGGGGGTTGTGGGGGGTTAGGTTTGTGCGCACTAAGCAACCGGCATGTCTCTCGGAGTTTTCTTTCATCCCGACGGGTGCGGCGGGACGAGGCGAGTCGACAAAGTCAGAGTTCCTGCAGATACGACTTGTTGGCGGACTCGGGACTGCAACCGGCATCGCCACGGACTGGTATGGAAACCAAAATACCTTGACATGACTCTGTTGAGGCTGCGAGATACTGTACGGTGACCGGGATCGGTGCTGACCGGCTGCGACCAGGCCGGTAAGGACCAGGTTATGTTGTTGTCTGGAAGGTCTTGGCTGCAGGAGAACGCGTTGGCGCCACGAGGGAAGGTGGTAAACCGCCCGGGCTGCACCCTGAGTGAAGGAACGGCTTGGTGGTAGTGTAGGATCGTCTGCAGAATCGATGATGCAGGTGCTAACAAAGACGGTAAGAAGTCCATGTTGGTGCCGAGGGATTGTATTGCCTGCAGCTCATCCATGCGCGAGATTTTGACATAAACGGCTCTTCAAGGGCCAATAAGACGAGGATCGAGGCTAACGTGTTGGATATGTTATCTTACGTCCTGCAGTAGAGAAGCAAGCAGACCGACCGCTTCTCGATCCCGTCCTGTCCAGCTGCCATTCTCTCTCGCTTGCATATCCCGGTACCGGGTTCGGTGTCGATGGGGTGGCCCTCTTCCGCGTCATTGGTCTGCTGCGGTTACATTGGCCTGCTCGATGACAAGACGTTGAGGCTGGGAGCGGCTCGCATATTGTCCGTGGCGTAACATCGCGGCGCGGGAAGCAGCCGGAAGCTTGTCGGAAATGCACGAAATATTACGCGGATCAGCCGCTATCAACTTTCAGGCCAGCAGCACGATTGGGACTGCAGTTAGACAGTGTGAAAGCCAAGCCATATGTTTCGCTAGCAAGACTGCTCAACCGAGCTGCACATTGCGCACAGCATCTGTCCGATGAAACAGATAGCAGTAACTGACTTCTTGACTTCTGATAGTTCCCTCAATAAGCATTAGCCTATTAAGTGCTTCTACATACGCAATACTCAGACAAAAGCAGGCTGAAGTTATCGCCAGTTGTGTCGCGAACAAAGCCACCGGAATCGCAAGGTACCATGTCACGATTGTCACCACCTGGGCCACAGCTCAGCCGCAACACACTGTAGCCTCCTTAGCCGCACTTGTCTGCTGTGCACTGTCACGAGTCAGAGAACTAGCTTACTCGGTCAAGGACATTGATACTCACCCGCCCAGCGTCTCCCAGTGGAAGATGAAACTGCCAATGTAGGCGCCGATGAAAATGCAGATGATGATATAGCCGTTGTAATACATGGCGAGCCTTGCACAGTGTCAGCGTTTCTGTGTTCCCTGGTCAAGCCAAATCAAGCGCGGGGCAAACGAACAGCATGACAAAGTAGGCGACTGCAAACTGCACCATATGCAGCAGCGCCCGGATAGCTTGCTCAAAGATGGTTGGCCGGTACCCTTTGTTCACACCGGCAGGACAGTTGGGGACCGGGCTCCCGTCGTCGGACAGGGCCTTGTTGGGCTTCGCCGAGCTGCCCTGCTGCGCCTTAATGTGCTTGTTGATGAGGAAGCGGTCGTATTCCTTGACGGCGCGGCGCAGCATCTCGAGGGCGATGACCAGGAGAATGACGCCGATGCACGAGCCCGCAAAGGCCCCTGTCGAGGTGACTTTCCATGACGAGGCGATGAAGCACGAGTCAATCGTGTACCAGTTCCAGAGCATCTGCGGAATGTTAGTGACATCTCGTCATGGGGCTCTGGGGTTGTGGGAGATACAAACAGAGATCTTGCAACCGCTCCCTCCTCCCATGCCTCCCATGCCACCGCCGCCGGAGGCAGTGGCACCAGCAGCCGCTGCGGACATGGTGGTCGTTGCCATCGATGCCATCGAGCCGTGATTGTGGTCCATGTTGACGTCGATGCGGTTGAACGAGGACTCGGACGATTATGAAAGTGTACGTAAGAGACGGATGCTGGGTCAGAGAACAAAGGCGAACCTGAGAGAACCGGAAAGCGTGGTGTCGGCAGCGCAGAGGTGTTTTAAGCTGGTCCGAGTATCACCTCGGGTCTTGATGCAGCACCGGTGAGCTGCAGCATGCAGAGGCTCGGTGGAGAGGCAGGGCAGGCAGTCTCGAGTGGATGGATGAGGTCCGAGTGTCACCATGCACTTCTTGCATCTGTCGTGCCGTGCCAATGCGGCGTGGGATGCCTTGGCGTGGAATTCGGGCAGAACAATGGAAACGGAAAGTCCACTGACCACGGGCCCTCGTGTTGGTCGTTCTTGCCGTACACGAATAGTTGGATGAGCCAATTGCGTGCATTTGAGCAAATTGTGGCCGTTCCGGGCGTGCGCACTTGCCTGGTAGTTGGGGCTGTCTTATTTTTGGCAGACCGCCATTCATGGCAAGTGAAACAACGACGAAGTAGCTGGCATGTGGCAGTCTCTTGACTCTCTGAATCGATGATCAGCAGGTGGGTAAGGTATCCGAGAATCCAGAAACACGCTTAGAACATCTAGAGAAAGCCTTCCCGATTCGGTAGGTAACATGCTCCAACAACCTCGTCACGTTTTTTCCAGTTCCGAGTGGCCTCGGATCCAAAGTTCATTAACGACTTCTTCTGATGACAAAATAAGATAATCAACTAGCTCAAAATGACGCTGTACCGATGAGTGGACTCGGCGAGGGAAGGAACGCAGCCCTGGGAAAAACTCCCTCACTCAGCATCCGCAATTTGCAGTAACGTTAATAGTAGTCCTCTACAACCCCTTCGGCCAAAAGAGCGACAAGATCCAACGCAGCCGCCGCAGCCACGAATCGCGCTTTGTGGGCCGGAATGGCTCACTGGCATACGCACCGCCCTTGTTCCGTCGAACGACAGCCGTTACTACGGCGTCGGCCTTTTCGGACAAGGTCGTCCGCCTCTGCAGTTGCTCGCCCGCCCCGACAGGGACACCCTTCTCCTCCGCTTTGACGGTGGTCATGGTAACGGTAACCGGGCGATCTTCCTCCTTCGTCTCAGCCTGCACCTCTGCAGCCTCGACGGCCGCAGCAGCAATCGATCCGGCGTCCTTCCTTTGCAGTGAAAAGTACGCAGCCCCCTCGCCCGTCCTGACCAGCCCGCCTGTCATGCTACCCGCTGACAATGCCGCCCGCGCGAGCTTGGCTTTGGTGACGAGGACGACATCGCTGCCGGCGAACTCTACCACACAGTTGTGCCACGGCGTGGGGATGTGCAGCAGGTCGAGGGACGTCATGAGCTCCCCGTCGGGCGACAGAGCGGCCACGGCGCGGGTCTGGGCCGGGTCGAATAGCTGGATGCCGAATTTTGGGCCGGCGTTGTTGTGCCTGGAAAATGATGAGACAGGGCTGAGCTGAGTTGGGTAGTCGAGATTGGGAGAGACTCACGCATGGATAGACAGGCGGACGTGGTTTGGGAAGAGCATCTCGACCAGGTTGGAGTATGCTTGGTTGCGCTGCTGCCGTTAGCCATCCACACAGTTCAAGTTGACAAATCGATCAGGAAACGCACCAAAATCATCTCGAATGCCACCTTGGCGGACAGCTTCTTCTGCTGAGACCTCGTCATGGCTTTGGCGTGCGGGTGATGCTCCAGGTCTTCGAGCATGAACCGGGAAAAGCCGCGGTAGAGGGCCGTGATGGCGGCATCCTTGGAGTCAATCTTGGCTCGGACAGCTGCCTGTTGCGGGCCGCATCCAGCCATCAAGATACGCCGGCAAAGCTCGGCTTCTTCGGTCACCTCGGTCTTGACGTGATGGGCAATGCCCGGAATGTTGAGCTGGCAGGCGAGTTCCGAAAGATCGCGGTCGGGATTGAGTGTCCCGAGTTGGAACAGATCAACCAGCGACTTGAATCCGACACGCCCAACATCGCCTCTCCGCCGGCCGATGAGAAGGTTCATCTCCTTGAGCTTCTGACCGTACGCATCCACATCAGCGTCGTCCACGCCGATGCAGTCGCTGAACACATGGCCGTCGCTGATGATCCAGAGCTTTGCACCAGGCTCGTAGATGCGCTCAATGGTCTCGATGAAGCCGTGGAGGCGCTCCAGGGCAAGCTCCTCGCCACGGTCAGGGTCTCGGCCTGTCACCTTGTCGAGGTTGGAGGACTTGCAGGGAAAGGCAGGCAAACAAAACTGAATTGTTAGGTTTCGAGTGGTGAAGTGCCGAATACGCTCAGTGAAGTATGTCCGGCCGGTGTCCGCCCACTTGTCGTCCTTGCCCTCGTACCTGAGATAGCTGTTGAAGAGGTCCACGACTCTCTGCGTCGTTGACTCGGTCTCGACAGCCTGTTGGCATCGGGGCCCAACAGAGAGATCTGCCTGGTCGAGGATCAGCTGCAGAAAGAACTTGTCGAAAGCCGTCTGCTCAGCCTGTGGTATTGACTGGTTGTTGGCGATGACGGCAGTTCTGTTGTGCTGCACCGGATGCGAGATGTCGCCTCCGCAGCGATGGTAGAAGGATTGCCCCTCGTTGGAAAAGTCCATGATCGTTGGTATTGGACCAGTTGGTGTAAGGGAACAATGAGGGCACAATCCAGGGACAAGCCAGACGACCCAAGGTAAGAGGTACCTATCGATATTTCAAGGATGAGTTCCAGATGGAGAAGTAAGGCAATTAAAGCTTCCGTGGGAAATGACTGAAGCCCGAGAACTTGAAGATACTCCCGACAGGCCTGAGCACAACACCCAGCGTCCTTCTATAACCCCCCGAACCAACAAGTAATCAGACTGCAATGATATCTTGGCCACTCGGTGTGAGGTGACTGGAGTTCAGCTTGGCCACAGACTTTCGAACTCGACCCTGGGGTGTCCGAATGAGAGGTCGGGAGCAGAAGCGAGTCCGGGTAAGAAATTGTGAACAAGAACCACCGAAATACGGCTTTCTGCGCCATTGGATGCCCTCAGCCGACCTTGTCAGAAGCAGAGGACTTGTTGGCGATGTAGAAGGAGGCTGGGCCCAGGGCTGGCGCCTGCCCGAGCTGAAGGAGGAGGTGAAGCAGGAATTCCAAGTTCGTCGTCGTACACATGAAGAGGAGCGCGATTTGTGCGGCCGGTTAACCCTTGGCAAGGTCATGACCGTGCAGCACACATGCAGCTCGCTCGAACGACATCGAGACGGCGCCAGTCGCAGACCAGAACTATCCTTGAATTGTGCTTTCATCAACGGGGCTCCCCGCTGCAGACGGTTGGATGCACTCACAGCAGTGGGTCTGTCCCCCCTGTCGTCCTTGGCGATCCTTGGCGCAGTGTCATTGACCATGGTACGGGTACGTGGCTCAGTGCCCGTGTCTCGACATTCTCACACGCGATCCTTAGCCGTCAGGGTCGTACTGAATACTATGCAATACGGCGGCCGGCAGTGCCATGGCTTGGCCGGCCCCCAAAGGTGCGTCCGCGTCCTTGGGCATGGCGCAATCTGTCTTCCTCGCACTTGGTGCAGTGTCGATGGTGACGGTGTTGAGGACCACGGCATGCCCAACAAAGTACATCGCTACAAACATGTCATCAACACCGAGAGGGTTCGGCATATCAGCGGAACTGAGGCCCGAACAGCCTTGTTGCCCCGTCAGCATTTACGGGTCATCTCTTTTATCGATTTAGTACACGTCGCACATGTTCAAGGGGCCTCGTTATCTTAGGCTGGTCAGATTCAGGTCACTCAAGAGTCAGCAGCACGGCATAGAACTGTTGAACTAGCAATAACCATAGGCAATGATGTACGGAGAATGGGCCTAAAACTTTTCGACTTCCTATGGTAAGCCAGATAAAACTTGACGTGTCTAAGCCGTTTTCATACCCTCGCCGGCGCGCTATGGTAAAGCTATAGAGATGACAGTACACCGTGTCGACGAAATCGATCGGACTTGAAGCAAGCGAAACAACACATGAAACTCTCAGATACCTTAATTATCCGATAATCCTATGCAATCATCACAGCCCTGCTCCCCTTCTTGTTCTGGATGGACTCATCAATGCAGGACTCGAGGACCCCTTGAGCTGGACTCGCAGATATAGAAGTCGCACTTCTCGTGGCAAACTGATAAGCAGCCGCACGGGCAGGATTCGTTCCATGTAGGTACCTTAGCTGGCCGCAATGCCGCAGTAGGTGGACAAGCAGCCTGTCTCTCACTCCTCTTGTGAATCTACCACTGCTAGCAGATGGCAATGAAAAGAATGACTTCGGGAGCAGGGCTATGGTAAAGGCATCCCATTCTCATCGCTCACGAAGGCGGCACAGGACTGCAGCCCTCCCCTGACCACTGCCGAGTGCCATGCAAGTGCTAAACTCCAGCCGCGACCTGGCGACGAATGATAGTTGGACAGTAGGGTAGTTAGCACCACCTCTCCTGCGTCTTGCAGTCCTGTATTACGCTTGTGTTTGTTGGGCGCGCCTGTCCACTCCCGTCGAGGGTTTCGGATTGGACCGACAACCTCCTGGTTTCTTACCATGCCCTTAGCTTGCGTGCAGACGGAGAACATCCTCTTGGGTACCTCTACAATTCTAGAACAATTGCAATTAAAGGCTCCTTCTCACTATTTACACGGGACTGTTGACTCAAGTATGGACGAGGCTGCGGACCCTCTAGCGGGCCTGGATGCTGAGCATGCCAGGACATTCAAATAAGCTCTCGCGTGGATCGTATCGACCCAGGGTGCCGAATTCACCTGCGCAGGAATTCTCGACGGACTATCCACGGAGGCCTCCTTTCTCGAGTTTCACCTGCGCAGAAAGGGCACCCTGCCTTTGAGCTGATCACACTTCTCCCTGTGAACCCTGTCCTGGAGTAATCGGTAGGATACGGAGCTTTCGAAGCTCTCTCGACCCGCTGACGCTGAGGTTTTCGTCTGTGGCAAGTGCCTCAATTACGCCTTTTGCCCCTCGCCTATGCTTGCTTCGCTTTTTTCATCGCTAATGCACCGCGCAGATGCTCTCGGCTTTCCAGGAAACCCACCCACGAACTCAACACTTCGACTTTAAGGCTGACTGAATTCTTGGCTGTCGCGTGCCACCAGATCGCAGTCTGCCTGTAAAACCTCGATGACGGCATCCACAGTCATCGCACATACGAGGAATGGCGCGAACTTAATCTCAGCCGGAGTAGTCTCGAGCCAGGCGAATTCATTGCGCCAACTCTCTTCTACCGTCGTAGCTACCTCGCCCATTCACAGTATGCTAACGGCGTGGCCGTTACAGTCGGTTACTGGGCCGACGCCAAGATTCTCGGCGGTGTGGTTATTATTATTATCACTCTTAGAATGATATGCCCTCGGCGGTGTGGTGATTCGACCATGGAATCCGGGGCAGAGGTGAGTAACTATGGGGTTCCCCCTTTTTTTTTTCCCCTTTTCTCTTCTTCATCCTTCCCTTAAAGACAGTAAAGAACCGGGCCTGGGGCGCGACCCTTTCCCTCGCCAGTGCCGAGACTTCTTCCTGCATCCCGGTCGCTTCAAGGGCCAACGCACCATTTTATCGTGCACACTGAAGCAATACGACGCCCTGATCAACTTCTTCTTGGGGCCGGGACCACCAATGGATGGATCCAACTGCTCCATTTCCTTCCACCCGACATTGGAAAACCGTTGGCGGTACGACCCCTGGGATTTCAAGGCGCGCTTCAACATTTTTTGCGATCGGTATTGGTACGAGAGAAAGACGGTTAGCGGCCCAAGGCCGCGGCTGCACAGTTGGGGGTGAGCTGGTTCGAGCTGATGGACGAAAATCGCATCCTGATGCTCCCGCAGGAAACCCGCGAGGGTAAGCATTTGAATCAAGTCGCCATGGACGCGGAGCTGGAGGGACTCAGGCAGATCACGCTGTCTTCTCCGCTTTGGGGAGATTGGGGTGGTCCGTGGTCTACCTGACGCTGCAGCTTGGGCCATCCAGGTCCCCGTAGGTGAGCGGAGATCTTCGGGAAACCGGAGCTATCACTTTTCCTGTTGTTTGTGTTTGGGTGGTCCTTCCTGCAACTCCAGGCTGAGAGCAGCAGCAGAGGCAGCTAACCCATCGGGCGGAGCAGGCATAGTGCCATATTCCTTGTCCTCTGTTCAGGTACCTTTAGTCAAATGGACACAAATTCACTCTCCATCAACTCAAGCGCTCCACATTCCCATCCTCGTTCAGCATCCATGTGTGCCATTATACCGAGATTGTCGCCCTCGCCAGACTCTCAGTACACACTATTTCTGGCGGTGGTTGGCCATGAACAACCTAAAACGGATCCTTCTTCCTGGAGGAAAACACAAGCCTCAGCATTCGGGGGTATAACGGGCCGGCCTACCATTTGAAGGTTCGTCAGCAAAGATCCGCTCACTGCAAGCGAAACAAAGACTCACCGGCGTCATCCTATCCACCCATCCAGGGTCCAATGTCCAAGTAAACTCGCGAACCAGCCAGACCAGCGTGACCCTCATCTCCAACAACGCAAACTTCTCCCCCAAGCACGCACGCCGACCTCCGTGGAAGCTGATAAACTCGGACTTGGCTCTCCTGAGCCGGTACTGCTTGTGGATCGCCGCCGGCGAGTCCCCCCAGCGGTCCGGATCAAAGGCGTCCGCCCGGGGCCCCCACACTGCCGGGTCCCGGTTGGTCGAGTAGCAGTGGTAGCCCAGGTACGTCCCCTTTGGTACGACAAGGTCCCCGCCGAGCAGGGCGTCTTCGCTGGCTTTTCGGTTCACCAGTTGGCCGATGGGCGGGAACAGGCGGAGTGACTCGTAGATGACTGACGTCAGGAAGGGCATGTCTTGAAGGATCTCTGGGTCGGGATGGGTGTGGTCTAGTGCTTTGCTCTGGATTTCGGTGTAGAGCTTGGTTTGTGCGTCCTGAACAATAATACCCTTGTCAACCCAGGGATTAAGGTCACACTAAGATTCTCGAGGTCTCGAGATAACCCACCGGGTGCTTCGCCAAGAGATACAGCGTTGAGATCATGCACAGCTGGGGGTTCTCCTGGCCCGCCACAAAGGCTACGGTCAGGTTGTCAAGGAGCTGCTGTTCGGTCCACTGCCCGGATGCCTTGGCGTCTAGCATCCGTCGTCCCAAGCCATCCAGGGGCGGATTTACGGGCGGCGGCAGGGGTCCGTCGTTGTTGTGGCTCTCGAGGAGAGCACGTTTGAGCTCGTTCTTGAAACCGTCGACCATCCGGCGAGCTCTAGTGCGGCTGGGCAATGGCAGCCTGTCTAGAACGGGAAAGTTCATGAAGACAGGGTTGAAGATCTCTCGCTTCACCGCGCTCTGTAAGACGTTGATGGGGGCGCTGGCCGAGGTCAGAGCCTATTTTCGGTCAACTTTGTTGTCTGTAACCGCCACAGTGGTGAGGAGCAAGACTCACATCGAGGTTGGTCTGTAACACCACTTCGGAGCAGTTGGCGACCGAGTACCGCTGGAGGAGCTCCTGCACAGCGACACCCCCCTTTCCAACCCGATGCTGCGCATCTCGCAGAAGGTCACACAACTTGCTCGCGTTGCTGGCGATGGTGTCTGTTTCAAAGTTCCTCTGCAACCCTGGCTTGACCACGGACCGATAGTTCCTCCACACATCCCCATGACTGGAGATGATGTTGTCGCCGAGGAACTGAGCAAGCACACTGTGGGGGATTTTTTTCTGGTTTCCGCTCTTCTGGTAGACGTCTTCCTCCTTGAAGATTTCGGCGAGGTAAGACGGTTTGTGGACCAGAATGTTCCACTGAGCTCCAAAGAACAACTTCACCGCGCCATGCTTCCTGAGCGGCTGCTCAATGTAGCGGTGGAAAATGTCGGATTGATCGACGTCTTTGAAGAAGGGGATGAGCGCCACCCAGAAAGGGATGGCGGGAATGTTGGCCGGGTACTTCGGTGGATGAAGGAAAACAAAGTAAACGAGTAAGATCAGGGAAGCTCCGAGGATGAGGAGCTCCGCGATGAACGTCAACATCTCGCACGGTAACCGTCGTCGCGGATGTGATGTTCAACATCCCAAACAAGTTGTGAACTCCTTATTTTGCTAAGTAAGGGAGAGAAAAGGTTCACATCGTCGATAAGGACTGGACCAACGCACAAACAGAGAAGCAGTGGATGTTGGATGCTCGAGGCCACGGGCGGCCGCTAATGCCGTGATCGGGTTACGAGGTCGACGAAGTGATAGGGTCCAGCAGCACCACCGAAATAGCGCCGGAAAATTGAGCATGTCCTGGGTTGTACATTGGTACCTACAGCCAAGGTACCTTCCCAATGGAGTGGCATGCGCCAAACAGGGGCCGGGGACCAGGTGCTGGTACCACAGTAGGCGCCAAGGCGCAGTCAGCAGCTGCAGGCTGGCTACCAGGGCGTGTAAAACGAGTTACGGAACAGAAAGGCGGACGCAAACCAAAGCACGCCGTGGGGTCCAGAGAATCGTGTCGTGGATCAGGGTCTGCATGGACACCGCCCCGAAGGCCTCGTCGAGGTCGAAGGTAAATGCGGAAAGCTTACACTCGTGCCAGCCTGCAGCGACATGCGAACATGCAGCCTGAAAACTGGGTCGGTGCACCGTTGTGTTGCTGCATTGCAACTGGAGCCCCTGTCCCCGAACTCGGTGCACCGGGCGGCCCGCCGTTCCCAGCAAGCCGTCTACTTATACAACTATAGACTCATACCAAAAAAGCAGGCTCTGAACGTACCGCCATATGCATATACAATATTCACCGACAGGCCGCCTTCACTCGAAACAAACCCAAGTGACCGTGTATTAGATAACGGATGGAGTCACCTCCAACACCGCCGAGGGAGCCGGATCCTGAAAAGGACGCCGTTGCGCCTCCACAAGCATACTCGGCCTTCTCCCCATGGAGACGACGCTTCATCATTATTGTGATTACCGTGGCAGGCTTCTTTGGCCCGCTGGCAGGAGGCATCTACCTCCCTGCGTTGCCGGTGCTGGAGCAAGAATTCCAGGCCAGTGCAACGGCCATCAACGCCACCGTATCCGTGTTCATGCTGACTTTTGCCGTCGGGGTGAGCATCCCCATCCCTCTTCAAACATAACTCGAAAGAGAGCTGGATCTGACTCAAATATGTGCGCCCGCAGCCCCTTTTCTGGGCGAGTTTGGCAGACTGGAAAGGCCGTCGCCCGCTGTATCTCATCTCCATTGCCGTCTACATCGGCGCGAATGTCCTTCTGGCTGCTGTTCCCGCCAACTACGGGGCCCTAGTGTTTCTGCGCGTCGTTCAAGCATTTGGATCCGCCGCTGTAGTCTCCATGGGCGCCGGTTCTGTTGCTGATGTAGGCGCGCCTTGCTGTCCCCCCTTTTCCACCTCAAAGACACCGGCCCCTGACAACCATGTCGCCAGACCACCGAGCCAAAACGCCGGGCATTTGCCATGTCGATATTCCTCGCCGGGCCTCAATGTGGTCCTATCCTCGGCCCTGTTCTGGGCGGTGCACTAGCAGAGGCCAAGTGGAGGTGGATTTTCGGCTTTCTCGGTATCTGCTCCCAAGCCCCTTTTTCATCTCTTACCGCAACTAACACTGGTCTGGTCTGGCAGCCATATCCGCCTTTGCCCTCTGGCTCGTGATCCTCTTCGCTCTACCTGAAACCCTCCGCGCCCGCGTCGGCAACGGCAGCATCTACCAGCACGGCAAACCCATCATCTGGCCGCCCAAACTCTCCTCCCCACTCGCGCCCCCATCACAGCGCGGCCCCCCGCCCCCAGTCCCAACCCTCAAAGGCTACTGGCGCCTGTTCCGCTACCCGCCCATCGGCATTGTCACATTCAACACAGCCATGCTTTACTCAACCTACTTTGCCATAGCCGTGCAGCTGCCAACAGAGCTGGCGGCGCGCTACCGCTGGTCGTCGGCCGCCGTCGGCGCGGGGTTTCTGGCCGTCGGCCTAGCCATGGTCGTCGGCTCGCTGTGCGGCGGGCGCTTCTCGGACTGGCGCCGTGCGAGGAGGGCTGCCAAGAAGGCTGCAGAAGACAGTGCCAAAGAGGAGGTTGATCCCGAGTTCCGGCTCGTTGACCAGATTTGGGGCGTGCTGGTGTGCGTGGTCGGGTGTGTGCTGTATGGCTGGCTTGTTCAGGTGGAGGCTCACCCGGCGGCGGTGTTGACGGCGACGTTTCTGAGTGAGTAGGCCTGACGCCACATAATCGATGCACTTGGTCGTTGGTCGTTCGTCGCTGACTCCAGGTGTCTTGCTCCAGACGGCTTCGGCATGAACTGGGTCTTTGTGACGACGACTGCATTTCTCACCGAGTGTGTGGCTCAGCAGGCCGCTGGCGCTTTTGCTCTCGGCAACCTGTTGCGCAATCCCGGCGCCGCCGTGGCTGCTGTCATTATTCCCTCGCTTGTGTCCAGGATGGGAAGTGGATGGTGCTTTACGGGCTTAGGCCTGCTCGACCTCGTGGTGGTTGGGTCTGCTGTGATGGGTGAGTTTGGGTTCGCGATGGCCTTTCTTCGAGGCGAGCATCAATGCTAACGTTCCATACCTAGTCCTTCGGATAAAGGGCGCTGGGTGGAGGGCCGCCAGGGTAGCAAAGCATAAGGCCGCTGGCAGGCCAAAGTAATGCATAAGGCACCTTGTCCTTGCATGGTCGCGCGATTGTAACATCAGCTTAGAGCACCGCTTAGCTAACCTTCTAACTTATGCTAGGCCCTTTCTTCTGTCACGGAGTTGCCCCGTTGTTAAGGTAGCGTGTGGGTTATTTGCGTTTGTGTCGAGCCTTGGACTCAAAGCTCTCTTGTAAGCTCATATTGGCCTTGTAAGCCTTGGAATCATAACCGCTAGTCTCCCAACGGAAGGCAGCGCCTTAACAGCATTGATAGCCATGAGATGTGTGCGATATTTTCGAAAGCGTTGTGCTGGAATGGCCAGATGATAGATCCCAGGCTCTGCTCCTCAGTGAGAAACCATGTTGAGAATGCCCATTTTGAGTCTTAAAACGGCCTGGACTTCAACCCACCGGCTCTGCTTCCCACAGCAGACTCAAGAAAGAGGTCAGGTTTTGCCTCCTGCGTTGCAGAAGGGTGGCTAAGGTACCTTATCTTGCACAAGCCGTAGCATATACTCTAGTTTGGCTCACTGCAAGTTTCCAAGGCTATGTATTATCGTTCCTCATGTTGGAGTTTATATTCGGCAAGGTTGAAGTCCAAAAAAAAATCTAGCTACCTCGGGTGAGTTAGGTACGGTCCGCATTTCTGACACGCCGGTGGCTTTGAGATCTTGAAAATAGACTACCTGAGGTAGTAGTACACCGCTTCAGACCTTCCATTTCCCGAACAAGTACAGTAGTAAGCAGTCCTGGATCGTGGCGGTCCCTCTCGTACCACATTAAGTCATCTATGATCGCTCTGTTATTCCATGGTGAGAACCGCCCTGAAGCGAACGCTGCCATTAGCCATGGCGTCTGGGGAATTTTGGCTGTCAGCAGCGTGTCTCCCAAATATCGAATGTTGAGGAATTGCGAAGATGCTCACCGTAAGCTTCGTTCGCCTTCTCAAGTGGAAACGTCTGAATCATGCAGTCAATACCCTGCAGCTGGGCGAACTTGACCGTTTCTTCGGCGTCCTCCGCATGCCCCGCAGGCCAGGTATGGAGGGATAGGCCCTTTCCGGTCTATAAGACAAGGAAGCGTTAGCCCAGTTGGTGGTCGGTCAAGGTTTTCCAAGTCATGCAACATTGACTCACCATGATGTTGACGTTGATAGGGATCTCGCCGGCAACTGCCCACCCAGTTAGCCCCCCATTTCTATACCGGCCTGAGAATTTCCTGGGGGCAGCTCACGAGACAACACCAGCAGCTTGCCCCTAGGTCCAAGCCCTCTCACGAGCTCTGGGATCTGTTCGCCGTGAGGGTTTGTGGTCACAATGAGAGACGCACCACCGAGGGCGGCGACCCCGGCGCCGGCCTCGACTTTGGTCGTGTCAACGTACTCGTGAGCACCCAGCTTCCGAGCGAAGTCCTCCTTGTCGGCGCCGCGGGAGATGGCAATGACGCGGAAGCCAAACTTGTTGGCGTACTGGACGGCCAAGTGACCGAGACCACCCAGGCCCTGTATGGCGACTGTTTCGCCGGGGCTGACGTTCATGTGCCGGATCCCGTTGAAAACGGTCAAGCCGGCGCACAGCAGCGGCGCGAACTTGGCCGCATCAACGCCCTCAGGAATAACGACCCCGGCTTCAGCTCGGATGAGGACGTACTCTGCGTCTGGGTTCTCTGTTAGCGGTCTGTATGTCCTGGGACCTATTAATAGGGTGATGTTCGCCTACAGCCACCGTTCCGGGTCACGCCGTTGATGGGCTCGTTGTCGCACATCTGGTACAGTCCCTTCTTGCAAGCGCCGCAGGTGCCTTTGGAGCAAGGAGACGCACTGCAGTTAGTGACCATTCGATATCGAATCAGACCCATCATCATTGCACTCACCGTCGTGGCCTCCGTGCCAACCAGCTCCGATGCGGTCGCCCACTTTCCACTTCGTAACGCCCTCGCCAACGGCAGCAACACGGCCAATGATCTCATGGCCAGGAGTCATGGGGCTGCCGACACCACTCTCAGTTTACCGCTCAAACCCAAACCCCACGGAGACACGATGTTGACGACTTACAAACCAGCACCGAAATCATTGCGCTGGACCGATATATCAGAGTGGCACACACCGCAGGCCTCGACCTTCACAAGCACCTCGTTCTCGCCAGGATGCTGCAGTCGGACGTCCCCAATGCTGAGACGAGAACCGGCCTCCGTAAAGGCGGCCCTCTTGAATGTGGCTGGAAGAGACATGGTGTTCGAATGTTTGTTGATGCTGTCGATGATGTAAAGGTATTTGGTCCGGTCCGGTCCGGATAAGGAACAACTGGGCTACGTGAAAAGGGTCGGCGAGATTAGCAAGTCGAGTCCACAATCGCTGCCTCTCTACAAGATGAAGTCAACGGGGGCAATGGTCCCTATTTAAGCTTTGGTTTTGGAGCTTCGCTAGCTCCATTACGAAGACGGCGAGCATCCGGTTCGGCTATATGTAATCGGGCCCGACCTGTCTCCAAGGACTCGGTCGCCTTGTTTCCTTGCGGGGTTCAAACCCAAGCCAACTCAGGGGCTAATCATGGTTGATGACAACATTGATGAAACAATGCAGTTCACTCATTCGTTGATTCTCTGCAGATTCCAAAGACGAGACAAAGGTTCAGAGATAACTAGAGCCTTTGGACTTACTCAGCAATATGCAGCTAAGTTTCTCTTCTGCCTGGGACTGTTGCAAATTGGCGTAGATCCATGTAACGCTAGTCTGAAATGTTTACTATTCGACACCCAATTAGTAATCGCGGACTCTAGATGTCACAACAAAGAAAAACACACAAAGCGGTGGATCTCAAGACCCGTTAGGCTATTAGGATAGAAGATAAATTGATGAGCTGGAGGGTCACAGCAGTGCTAGGCCAATTTTCTGGCTGGAAACATGGATAGTAATCATCCAAGGTAAACTTGTGTTTGCCAATCTCAACACTTCAAAAGAAGCGAGCTCCTTCGATCGACGACGCAGCAGAACTTCATGTCTAGGCAAGTAATAGGTGCCTGGTTGAGCGGAAAGATCATATGCCAATGCCCATTTCCCTCAGATACTCAACTTGAAGGCTTTGCTCACCAAGTCAACCCCAACCTTCCACTCTTACAAAAACAAATCATTGTTCGTTTGGCAACCTTCACTAGCGGCCCACTGGTCTTGTATCCAGCAGCAATGTATGACGCAGCCGATTAGGCGAGATTCATCAAGTTGGCCTGCGCCGCGAAGGCGCCTCCGTAGGTTTCGCGGCCGACCAGGGCCTTCTGTTGCTGCTCGGGAGTGGCATTCTCGCCGCCGTCGATGGCAGTGGCGATGTCCCTCAAGAGCACGGACGAGTCAACCGTGTCGTCAATGTGCTTGACGGCGACGAGGGTGCTGCGGCGCGCGTAGACGGACCACTCGCCGCAGCCTTTTGTGCCGATGGCGTTCATGGTGAAGAAGCGGCCGGGCTTGACCTAACGGCCATAAGAGCGCAGGTACTTGGCGACGAAGGCGACATCGGCGAGGTCCACATTCTGGGGGATGCCGTTGTCGTCGGTGTAGCAGAACAGATCTGTCATCTCGCCATGCAGTCGCGTGCCTGCAGGGGCTGCGGATTTTGATCTTGTCCCAGCACGGCAGCATTGACGCGCTCCAGAAGAGCAGCAATAGCAACGATGGTTTTGGGAACATTCTGGATATGCTAAGGGGTGGACAAGATGACTTGGGGTTGAGAGAGGCTTGCCAAGGATGCCGCGTTCTGTCTGTGACGCAAATGAAGCCTGGTCCCAAAGTTCCATTGCCCCTGGCATGCTATCTGCATATATCGTTGGGTATGAGACTAGATACTGACATCTTCTCCTCACCTCCAGTCGTTCAAGTCCGGCCTGGTCTCCAAACGAGGCATCACCGACAACGCTGCCAATCACCCAGCCTGCATGTGTCACGTCCCCTGTTCGCGGCTTCGCGTTAGCGGATTGAACGCGTCTTGCATCGAAGTTGGGAATATTGATTGATGATGCGCTGCAGCGCAGGGGCGAGGTCGTAGAAGTAGGACAGCGGTCATCACCATAGCGCCAACCGCATAACAAATAAGGATTAGCCACCAGCGGGCCGCAAAGGTCCTTTGACACGGGAACGGCGGACCGGCGAGATGCGCATTTTGCTTCAGATTATTGACAATTGGGAGTTATCGCATTGATCTCGGCGGTTGGTGGCTCAATCCCTCTGACCAGACTGATCACAGCCGAGGACTCAGGAGCGTTCGCGCATGGACTGGAGTTGTCCCGCGGTTACTGGCTCTGGTTCTTCATTTAGCCCTGATAATCCCCAGCTTTCTACGGATCACCTAGAAGGCATCGAAACCAAGATACCCGGACCTTATTGGAGTCTCTCACCTAAGATGGACGCAATGGCCCGGCTGGTGGCTTTCTGCTTGGCGGCAGCCTGGCTTGCGGCTGGTGCTGCCGCATACATTTGTCACCCGCGCGATCAGAACATCTCTGTCTCACCAGTTGAGGTTAACGTCGACTTTGGACATCGAGTGAGTTCTCTTCCCTATATTCGCCGTGCTCGAGGGACCGAAGATTAACTGGGCTAATTCCCATTCAGGACCCCTTCGCCTACATGGTAGACAACACCTACAACACCCATGGAGTGGCCCCTGACATAGGTTTGTCCACGAACTGGGATCCCTTGGCTTTTTATCGCCTTTCTGGACGAAGAATAACCGTCTGAGAAACCTACAATGGCCCCATGTGGCTGCACTCCGGTAGCTTCGAGGGTTACATGGCATCCCTGAACAGCGGAAACAAGTTAGTCCCCGGTTACAACAGATCCGTCGCGCTCCTGAATGACATATCACAGTATATGCGGAACGTTGTTGTTGATCCTGCCGGCTCATTCTTTATCCGCAACAGCAGCAACGCTGCTCGACCGCCACTGTCAGCTCCGCGAGCAAGCCAGACCACTCCTCGAGACGTTTCACCTGAGACTCGCAACGCACGCCGGGCTACGGATTCCTGGCTCCCGTCGCTTGCTTGCTTCGGTTCAGTGAGTGCAATGTGTCTACCCCTAATAGTGATTTCTTCCTGCGCGCGTTGTCAAGGCTAAGTGAACATCCCCAGCAACCGTTGGTCGGCAGTGGCTACAAGTTCTACCGCGACATCACTTCTTATGGTGCTAGGGGCGACGGCATACACGACGACACTGAGGCCATCAGCGCGGCCATTGAAAACGGTAGCCGGCGTGGGTTGGAGTGTGGCAATACCTTTAACCTCACTGATGTGGACGTTCAATTCGCTGACAATACGATCTCCCTGCAGCCTGGCAACTGCCGAATCTGTCGCCCTATCATTCAGTACGCTACTTCTTTGCTCTCATTTGAGTTTCACTGGCTCACCATTACCACTAGGCTCTATTACACCCAATTCATCGGCCATTCAACCGACCGGCCTACCATTCTTGGCTGCGAGAGGTTTCTCGGGCATTGCGCTGATTGTACTGATCCGCACATCCCGGGTGGGTAAATAACTAGTACAACTTCACTGATTATCATGAACGCAGGCTAACAACGTGTTCGATCAGCTGAGGGTGCCAATTGGTAAGCGGCTCAAATCCTACGTTCTTGGCAGCAGATCGACGTCAACGGCAGCAAGGTGGCCTTCAACATTAACTAGCGGCAAGGGAGGCATCACAAAGCAGGGCGTGGGATCCGTGTCGTTTATCGACTGCAAGCTCAGCAACGTGGTCAACGGGATCCTCACAGATGCCAGCAGCGATGCGCCGCCGAACATGGTCATCAACAACCTGGTCACCAGCAACGTCGAGCCCATCCTCGCGACAACCTACGGCAAGATCTTTCTTCCAGGGATGGGCACCGCCGGGCTGTGAGGCCGTTGGCCAACGCTACGACGGTGGACGCGGCGGCTACCAGAGCGGCAACGTCGGTGGCGTTCCAAGCCGGCCTGACAGTCTGCTGGCGAGCGGCGAATCTTTCTTCTCCAGGTCCCGTCCGCAATACGAGTCACGGTCCGTTGGGGACTTCCTTGTTGCCACGACACAGGGGATAAAGAACGACGCCACCGGTGATCAGACAGCCGCCACAAACTCTTTCTTGCAGAGCGCTGTCGGGCAAGGCAAGATTGCCTACTCCCCGGCGGACACCTATCAGGCTCAAGGCACCGTAAGGGTGCCGCTCGGCTCGATGATTCAGGGGTCAAGCTGGGCACAGGTCGGTTTCCGTCCCATTCAATCCATGTCGGTATCATGTTTCCCTTGAGTAAGGAAGCTCACGATTGCCGCTATTATTAAATCATGAGATCAAGCAGCTACTTCGGCGATATGAAGAACCCCAAGGTCATGGTTCAGATGGGACAACCCGGCGATTCTGGTGTCCTAGATATCGTCGAGATGCTCACTGCAAAGCGGCAACTGCGGGTGCCATCTTGATGGAGTGGAACGTTCACGAGAGCTCCCAAGGGTCAGGTAACGCCCACTGCGGTCTTCGTGGTAGCAGAGCGGGCAGGTGTCGAGGATGCGGTTGAGTTTCTTCCTTCGTGTCTACCCAGCCCTCATTCTCTCACTGACAGACGCACTTTAGATGCCGTGTGGGATTCGCATTTCCTTGTCGGTGGTGCAACTGGCACCGATTCGACAATCAAGGAGAGCCCGAAGTTTAATTATTCGTCTGACTCACACCCACACGAGATAGAGCAGGCTGAAAATATTCAATGCCTCAGTGACAACGACATGAACATGTATGACGAGTGGGACACGACAGCAAACCAGATCAGTGTTTACACGGGCAGGGGCATGCTGGTAGAATCTCAGAGACCGTCTCGGTTCATCGGCACTGGCTCGGAACATAGCACTCTGTATCAGTATCAGCTGTACAAAGCAAACTGTGTAAGTGATCAAGCCGGTCACGCAATCCCGCCAGCATCCCACCTTGCTGATAGAATCTTGCGATCTAGGTATATCTGGGCCACATATAAACGGAAACCCCTTACTATCAGCCTAATTCGGTTGGACCAGACCATTTGACGTCGTCGCAAATGCCTCGTTGTTACCTGCCGAGCCCAAGTTTGAGGACTGCAAGACGGACGCTTGCCGCAATGCATTTGGGACTTCGGATTATTGACTCATCCAACATCTACATGCACAGTGCGGTCACTTACAGCTTCTTCTATAACTACGACCAGACATGTGTTGGGACGTTTAACTGCCAAGAGCGGCTGATTCAAGTCAGGGCTCGGACAATGTGATGATCAACATTTTCACTATCGGTTCAGTGCAAGCAGCATCAGGGGCAAAGCAGACCTTTCTTTCATGCAAACATGCGCAGAGATACGTCTAACAAGACATGAACAAGCATTTACAGAGACTTACCCTGTTCCATTTAGTGGCTTCACCACCGAAGTCATTGTCTGGGTTCAAGTCGACGGCGACGACGATTACGAGTCGTCTACGTTGGCACCGAGGTATTCACCACACACACAGCGCAGCGCAGTGTACAGCTCCATGCATTCCCGTGCTCCCGAGGGCTTCCATTTCCACCACGACCATCAGCATTCCTCCATATAGAACCGCTCCTCAAGTTGGATCCGCCATCGGTACTACCACCACAGTGACGCTGTCGCTCAGTCCCATCACAACGGACTCGATGGGCTACTCCAATGTCAATGTCACCTTCGGTCAGGACACGGCATACGATTTCGTCCCCTCGCCCAGTATCAATGTCCCGCCCATGACGATTGCAGTGACTGGTCCAGATGGCAAAACCACAAGACGAACTCTCACTCTTCCGCCATGGTAACAAATAACTGAAGGGCCGCCTGCTGGTTGGTCGAGTCGCAGTGGCTCATGGGCGCCAACGGTCTCAAAGGCCGGCGGCGTCGCAGACGGGACGCTCTTTATTGCGTTCGTTACCCCCTACTCGACCGTTGCCACTCACTTGGGTAAACTATCCCGCGACCTGGACCTTCAGATATCCTTCCCCCATCATTCCCATCACGTTGCTGTGTCCTCCGTCCTCGGCCTACTCGTTCGCAACGCCAGCCACCTCGATAACAATTCCATGTCCTGAATCACGAGCATCAAGTTCAACTGCCCAACCACTCCCACGGTCATCACAATACCATCACGCACAACAAGGCATGTTACGGTTGACTCTGCAACTCTCATCGGCGTGCCCATTCCAACCCCCACGACGACGTCAACCACGGCGGCGCGCCTCCCTACCTGGACGGAGTGGCGCCAGGAGCCATCTATCCGGTGACGACGAGAGTGGACAAGCCACAGCCCACAGGCAATCACAGTGAGCCCCTATGCAATATCTGGTTTCATCTGGATTTGTATCACGCGGCACGACATTGATATTAAGGGATGGGCGTGGTTTCTTCCGCCGGGCATCTATCCCCCGTAAGACCTCTTTCTTCCCTCTGTTTCGCGTAGTGTTGGTTCCCTTGATAACCAAGTGTTTGCTGAATCACTAGTCCGTCCCATCACCAATTTGTTTCATCTCCCACAGGGTGGAAGATCCACGGGACCACAACGGCGTCTACTTCCACCAGCGCCACGTCTGCAACTATCGTGGGATGCAATGTTGAGGACAAAAACACGGCTACTGCAGTCTCAACGTTCTCGTTGGCGAAAAGGACCACACGCAGAGAAGCCGCGTTTCTGACGGAACCACCTTCGCAATCGACAACCGCGATGAGGACGCATGCCAATCCGGCAGCCAATGGAGACTGCAATTATGTTAGCCCGGCTATCATTTATCCCGACGATCCAAGACACCAAGAGGGAATCCAGAGCATGAGAAACAAAATCAAGGAACTGGATCTGACGTCTCACGAGGTGAAGTCGGACAAACTGGGTTTCACAGCTTTCTTCTGGGTCGGGGAAGCGGACAGCGACGATTTAGACTAACTGCGAGTGGTGCCTGAGGTATGTGTGTCGCCTACTACTGCACGGCGAGTATGAAGGAGCTTGAACCTAACCATGGCGAGACAGGTTGACGTCGCTTATCACTACGAGTCGTTTAACGGGAACATTCCTCCTCGGACCGCGCCAGATCCAGACCGGTGCCTCTTGTTGGGGATGAACGAGGGTTCCGGGCAGTTTCCCGATGCCGAGTTCTCGCTGGACCACCGGGCCGTCATCGGCAAGCGGGACCGGCAGATGAGCAAGCCTTGGAAACTCTCGCAAGTTTCGTTCCCAAACAGGGGAGACTGGTACGGTGACCCGAAATCTTAACTGCCGGTCAGACCGAGGACCAGGACAGGGACTATTTCTACTACGAGGGCTTAGGCGGCGCGGGCCAGTACGTGTACATTGTCGAGGATGCCGTCTGGGACAAGCACCCGGAGTTCTGAAGTGCTTCTATCGAACACAGGCCGAGCGGCAACCACGCCGACAAAGATCATTCCACGAGACCCTCCACGGCTCTGGCGTTGGCTCGAAAGTCATCCGGAATACTCTGGGCATCGCTAAGAACGCGACGCTGGTAAATCGCGACAAGATGAAAGATAGTGCCTTTGTGGCCTACATGGTGAAACAGTTGTCCGCGAAAAGTATCTCAAGTCCCTGCTCAACGCCGCCGACGACATTGTTACCAAGTGACGTTCCGGCAAGTCCGTCATCAATATGTCATTCGGCATGAAAAGGAGGGAGGCACCTCCGCAGTTTCTGAGCATGATGCGTAACTGTTCCTCGTTACTTTCTGGATGCCCTTGCGAACGCTGAGACGCTGATGGCACGGTGCGCCCTGCCGTAACAATGGCAGTCCATATCCTTCGAAAACTCGACAAGCTTGGTACATCTCTCGTTGTGGTAGCAGGTAACAATGATGCTACTGAGAGCGGCATATCAGATTATCCTGCGGAATTCTGGGAGACTGGTGGCTTGTCAAACTTGATCGTTGTTGGCGCGACGGACAAACAGCAGACGGGCTAGCTTCAGTAACCACGCAGGCTGGATCACCACCTATGCACCGTAAGGTCCCTACTGACAGGTTGAACGGCGATCCGCTGATCATGAACGTGCTTCGTACAACGGAGACTCGATCTTCGTTCCTTGGAAGAGTCCGGAGGATATGCAACTATGTCCGGGGTCCTCGTTTGGTCAGTACCTACGCCCCCCCTTGCCGGTCTCAGAAGGCGCTTGCTCACTCATTCGCAAACTGCAGCCGCCCCCCTTGTTGCGGGGTTGGTTGCGTACTACCGTGGGCTTCCTCTGCCAGAGCCATGGAAGACGCAGCTCCAAAAACCCAGAATTGTCGAGTTGCTCATTAGGCATTTCCACCGACGCCTCATCATCAACGATCCCAGGTTTCCGCCTTCTACAGCGGGTCTGCAAGACATCAAGCCCATTATCTGAAACGCTCAGGTATTTTATCGTTCGTGTCTGCTCGACCGGCCCTTGACGGCGACGACGTCTGCGGAGATCCGCTCCCCGCTGACCTGGGCACGCTATCGCCATATGGGGGCCAGCCAGTGCAGGGCAATGGAGACGGCAGCGCATAACCCTCGGGCCGGGTCCCGATGGTAGGCCAGATTGGACCAACCATCACATACCATTCCGGAAAACCGTCACCGAGGTGCACAACCAGGTGTGGCACTCTCTGCACCGGCTAGTACTGCCAGCCCAACCCTACCGGCAAGCCCACTGACTTCACGGACCCAGGCAACATTGGAGACCAACCATCTAGCACAACGGGCAAACCGTGCGACATCCCTGACCCCGCGAACACGGGCGGTTGCGCCTTCAAGACGACGACGATGCAGTGTAACGGCAGCGGTGGTCAAAGAGTCTGTATCCCCGTCGAAGTGTGCACGACGCCATAGACCTGCCCTCGCTCACTAGGAAGCCGAGTACGACGCAGACGGGGAGCTGCCTCGCCAGCGCCGCTGTGTCGACATGCGCCATGGGACCCGGTGGACAACCGGCTTGCATAACGTCGACGGCCTGCAACCGGTGGGCGACAGCATCGCCGCCCCTCGCCAACAGTTTCGATACCCAGCCCGCTCCCATCGCCCACGCCGTAACACGGCTTCATTTTCACCGCCTTGGCGGAGATGCTTTGTTAGCGGATACAGTGACAGACTGGCTCCGCACGTGGCAGGTGTTCGCGGGCCCCTCGAAAGAAGCCGTCGATTCATGCAGCATGGAGAGCCTCGTCTACTCTGATCGGTCGGTGGCCTTGGCTACAGGCTCAAAACCCGTATTCCCTCAACTATGGGGCCCGTTCAAAGCCCGATGATTCACCTACACGTAGAAGGGAACGGTGGACAAACTGGGCTTGCTCCAGTGCGACGGCGTGCAGAACATGTGGTGCGACAACCCTTTTGCCCGAGCGCGCCATGATCGCCTGCGACCTCTGTAATCCCACTTATAACTTGGTTGTTCTCTGTCGATGGTGATTGATCGTTGAGCACTGCGGCTCCTACATGAAAGAGGAGAGTTACTTTATCATTCTGACATTACGTACCTTGAGATCGCGTAGGTTGAAGGGCATGACACTACCGGGGGCATTAGGCCTCCCAGGCGAGACGTGTGGCGGGCGCCTCACCCAAACACTAGAGGCTCCAGGTATTCTTCTCTTCAACGTACACTTCAAGGTTGCTATTTTACTACATTCAATTCCTGGCCTGCTGGCCATCATTTCGCACAATTATCACATACGCTGATGTACGTCCAACCATTTTATCAGCCGCCAAGTGCATACTCTGCCCAAGTAATCTTCCGCTGAACAAAGTAACAACTGGACAAACTAGACTTATACTGGTGTTTGTACTTATACATGTGCAGTCGGGAGGTTGCTGTCGAGCCTGGGACTGGAAGCAGAGCTGGTTGATTGAGGTTCAGTGACTCGAAAATCAGAATAAGCTGGAACATTGTGCCCACATGCCTCAGAGACTCAGCTGATTGCCTTCCACGTGGCTCGACGATCGATCAACCAAAACGGTTTGGTAACTTGGCGTTAATGTACATGCAATTATAAGTGTAAGAAAGAACAGTTCCACCATTTCAGGGGTTTGAAGTCAGCAGCGAATGACAAAAACGAAGAAAAGGCCTCTTGACACTGATCATCTTGACCGCGAAAAGTGCGGCTCAAGAGAAACGAGAAATGCAAGATTCCTGAGGTAGCCAGTTTTGAATTTCTGCCAGATAAACGAGTGAACGTAAACGACGCTCACAGTGATCCCGAGTCCACACTCTATGCTGCGGTTTGTGCAAGACTTTCGCAATGCAAGAGCCAAAGCGAGACTTGGTAACTACAGTACCTACCTCGAGGCTGCCAAGGTGAGATTGAAAAGGTGGTGAGCAATGCCCCTTCAGGCTATTTACGGATCCGTAGGCGAAACAGATTCGATCCCTGCTCCAACCGGTCGGCGCCAGCTGTCGGCACTCGGCTGCTCTCCTTTTCCACGGCAACGGATCCCTTTCCGGCCCTCCAAGCCTCATCCAGTCGCACACCAACGGCCGAGCAACCACACCACTGGGCCGGGATCATGGCCAAACAGCCCCGAGCTTTATGTTGAAGCCTCTCTTATCAGCCGCTCGTTGATGCATCCCACTTCCCACTTTCGTTAAACCCCACCTCTGCTCAATAATCACTACCGGGTATTCCATTGTCTGTTGACACCGCCTTTCAATCAAGCCCCGATCCGAAGGCTTCGATTGCACGACCCTAGCATCATCGGACATTTTGCGCGACTTCTGGATCCTCCGCCCCCGTCTCCTCCTTACCGAGAACCATCCGCCAACGCTGCGGTCTCGACGTCGCCCGTCACCACCGCACACAAGTGACACCCGACACTCGCCTTTGCAGGCGCGACCGCTCCCCCCCGAGTTCCCTCCAAACGTCTCGACGACGGCGGCCCGACCGGCCGTCCCTTTCTGCAACAATGGGGTTTGGGGACTTCGACAGCATCTGCCACATGGCACCGCTGCCGCTATGCTCGTCAATAGGCCCGATAACGTCGATCGCGAGCGGCGTGGGAATAGAGCCGGACTGCTATGCGCGCAACATTGAGCTAGCGAACACCATCATTTTCCAGGGCGCCGCGAGCGCCATGCACATCGCCGCGCTGATCATGACCGTAACCATGGTCTTGCATGTGCGGGGGAAGTTTACGGCAGTTGGTATGCACAGCAGTTGAGACCCAAGCGCGTGCGGACAAGGGAGAAAAATTTGCTGACGAGCTTCCGTTTCCGCAGGCCGAAAGGAGATCACTACTTTCTTCTACCTCTACATGCTGCTCACCTCCCTATCGCTCGTCATCGACGCCGGCGTCGTACCACCAGGCTCGGCGCCCTACCCCTACTTCGTCGCCGCACAAGCCGGGCTTTCCTCGGCCACCGTCACATGCCTGATGATCAACGGCTTTGTCGGGTTCCAGCTATACGAGGACGGCACACCGCTCTCGCTGTGGATGCTGCGGCTGTGCTCCGCCGCCGCCTTTGTAATATCCTTCCTCGTCGCCCTGGCGACCTTCATGTCGTGGGCCGGCCTGGGCCCCACCAACACGGTCGGGCTCTTCGTGGTGCTGTACCTGCTCAACGCGGTGCAGCTCTTCGTCTACGTGGTGCTGCAGATCCTGCTGGTGACGCGCACGCTTCAGGACCGGTGGCCGCTGGGCGACATCGCCTTTGGCGTCTTCTTCTTCGTCGTCGGCCAGGTCATCCTATACGCCTCAAGCACCCCGATCTGCAACGCCGTCAGCCACTACCTGGACGGCCTCTTCTTCGCCACGACCTGCAACCTGCTTGCTGTCATGATGGTCTACAAGTACTGGGACTCGATCACTAAGGAGGATCTCGAGTTCTCGGTCGGCACGCGCATGAACAACTGGGAGGTCAAGGACTTGCTGCCCGAGGAGGACCGCCGCGCGACGGTTTACCACGACGATCCCTACGGCCAGTCGACGGCCTACGACAACTCGTACTCGCCCAGCCCGAACCGCCATTCGAGGTACTAGGGCTCCCGATGCACGGCCGGGGGTTGTTTGGCGGCGCGGCACTAAGTATAATCCAGAGACTTTCGTGGCGTTGGTTGAGTCGCAAATGGTTGTGAGGGCCGAGGCAGCCGTGCCGCAGGTTTCCCGAGAGAAATGCGATGTACTGCATGAAACTTTCTCTTCTGTTTTGTCAGCATCAGCGTGTTGGTCACTTCTGTTGATTTTCTTTTCTGGCGTTAGTATGGGGGCTTGGAAGATAGCAGTGTCGGCGGTCATGAGGTGGGCACGGAAGACCTGGGACTACTGGACATCAACGACGTGTCTTAATACTGCTCACACGGATTCCTACTTCTTCATCGAACAGCCGTACCATTCTAGTTTAATTTTCCCTAAATCTGCCTTCAGGGTGAAACTCGACATTTGGCGTTACCTGGCGGCACAGTGGGCACAAACGCAGCGGTTAGTCTATATATGGACACTACCCCGGCAGCATGCTTTCGGGATCGAGCGGGGTCCTTTACAGATTGCGGTCCTCGTTCGTCAATGCTGAATGTACTTGCGTTGCCATGGACCTGAGCGGATTCGATTGATTCTTGATGGATGTTCGGATGGCAGCCAACCTCCAGAACTGAATCTCTAACACAAAAGGAAAGTTTCTTGTTCGCCTGTTCGGAGTCCTCTCTGAATTTCTTACACCACTAATGGTTCAAGCCGGCTCGCTATGCTTGGGTGGCCTTTTGTTTTGTGCAACTCCTGTGTTTCCGTGCCCCAATGCTTTAACAGGTACCCTTCCCTAGGTAGGATAGCCTCGGGCTACTCTCCACATAGGTGGTGTGTGCTAGCGCAGACTTCCTGCAAATCGCCAATATTACAGTGCCGCTCACCTTAATTGTCAGAGTCCTTCCTGAATCAGCGGACATTTTTGATCTCGACATCCAACTCCTTCCATGGGCCCTAGCGCAAACCTAGGTAACGTTACCTAGCGGTTGGTCTCCATCCCACGACCCTCTAGCTTCGTATAGGGTTCACAATCAATCGCCATCAGTTTCTCATTTCCCGACCCCTGATTGGGGGGATTTCGCCTTGGCAAATGATTATTTGAGCGACCCTGAGGCCCGAAATCTCTCAACTAGGCCGGAGTGAGTGCCCTCACTTTCTTATTCTGAGCCGCCGCTTTGACTGATCTATCTGTCGGCCGATCCAGACAGGGATAGAAAACGCCAACCTGCAGTGGCTGGAGCGCGTGTGGTGTGGGAGCAGCCCGATTGTCCGAGTCAGCTTTCCACAAAGTCTAATATTACCTTATCGATCACAACACCCACGTGTACACAAAAACTATCTCCCTCGCGTTGCCACCCTTTCCCAGCATCGACGGTCGACACCACACTTTTCCACCGCCACCGACAATTAACCGCGTGTTCACGTCGAACAAGCGCGCCGTTTCCAAACCGGGAGTCCCATCCTATTCGATCGCCTTCGCGTCCTTGTCCTTTCGAACGCGCGTTCCTTCAGGTAGGTAGAATGTGATGATATCTCTCGCCTGCCCAAACCATCACCCTCAGCGCAACCCAAGGATTTGGAAGAAGCCTAGGCCCGCCGTTTCATGTATGCTCTCAGGTGGCTCTTTTCTCGGCATGGTACTTGGCTTTTCTTGGGCCGACCGAGTCAACCGAGTGCGCAATATTACTAGGGAAAAGCCCCGCGCTGACTGCGAACTAATTAGATCCTTCCACATGCCACGTTTGCGAGCTTCTTAGGGCCGAAAAGCAGAATTAGCACCTCTTGCGGACACCGGACTTGACCAGCCCCATTCTTGCAGTCCCGTGCTAGGCTCATTTCTTACTCGCTCACTGCGCACTCAACTCATCAGACTTTGCTGCCCACGCGACTCAAAATATCCACTACCTTATTTACTGGTAGTTCAAAGTCCATTCAATTCACCATGGCGACGATCGATGCGCCTGCGACAGCGGATGGGAATCCCTGGGACGAGATCGAGCAGAACTACTTCAACTCGATGCGCGCCCACCGCGAGCAGGAAGATCGGGAGCTCGAGGAGGAATTCCACGCCCGGAGCGAGGAGTTGAGGCAACAGGTCCTCAAAAACTACAATGCCCAGACCGAGCTGCTGCGCCGGCTGCAAGAGTTGAAGCATGACTATGAGTCCAAGCAGGCAGCGCTGGACAGGCTGGACGGCGACTTTGAGCGCCTGAAGCTCGAGAAGGCGAGGGACAGGGAGATTGAGGACGAGCGCAGGAAGCAGTGGTTTCGGGAGTTCAAGAGTGGATTGGCTCACCGTACGATGGAGGAGGTGGCGGAAGAGCGGATGGATGTGGAGCATGCCGATGGGCGGAATCAAGGGCAGCCTGGTGCAGATGGCCAGGAGGGGATGGAGGACACAGTGGATGGTGATGGCAATGCGGCCAGTGCGTCAACAGCTGAAAAATTAGCGCCTCGACAACTTACCGAGGAGGAGAGAGACCTGCCGGGCGCCGAAATTCCTTCCAGTCCAGTTGACGAAAACGGCCAGCCCCCTCACCCTCCGGCAGATCCCACAAAGCTGCCTAATGGGCATCATCAGGATGAGGAAGAGCAAGAACAGCCCTCCGACGAGAAGGAGGAACCAACACATACCGGGCCGCTCGTGCATGGCCACGAACAAGAGCCCAAACCCACGGAGAGCGACATGTCTGACGCTGAACGGGCTGCTGACCGGCAGGAGGAAGAGCCACCTGCTGTGGAGGGGATGTCCAGCATTCTCGTTCTGGCCGAAACCCACGAGCAGCAAGAGGCCCCTACCTTGGAACGCGACGTGACCGAGCCTCCTATTCCTGACGACGAGGACGATGTGGAGGGTATCGAGGTTATTGGAGGGCCTGAGTTTCCGGAGCAAGTTCATGTCCCCGTCACCGAGGCCGAACCCAAACTCGATCCCCCGAGTGATAAACAACAAGCAAGTTTGCCAGCGCCGTCGACGGATCAACAAGCTCAGCATGCCGAGGTTACGAAGAGACACGTTTCGTCTCCGCAGATTGGATCGCCAGACGGGGGCCAGCCAGATAACTCCGCACCGGATGAAGAGGATGTTCAGATGGCAGATGTCCAGGCATCGACTGAGAGCGACAGAGACGAATCTGAGCCCCCAGAAGGCCCCAGTCAGTCAATGCCCGGGCCGACAGCCCCCGTCTCTCCTTCATCGTCATCGGAGTTGAGCTCACGCCATACAACTCCAGTGCTGGAGTCGCCCGTCTCCATGCCCAGGGAGCCGAGCCCACCAGCAGCTTCAGCGGACACCACCTCTCACGCCATTGAGGTTCTTGGCGAGTCCGGTGAATCCATAGGGTGGCTGCAGCTACCTGACATAAGCAACACTCTTGTCGACCGGCTCCAAGAGCTACCAGTCAAGCGGCCGGTCCAGATCCGCGAAGGCAGAAAATTCACGGCTGATGACCTTGAAGCAGTCCCTCGACCTCATAACATAGACGGGAGGGCCTACAAGTTCCTCAGCTTTTTCGTGCAGGCCACAGGCGATGTCCAGGAGCGGCCGTGCCTGGACTGCTCAACCAACCATGGTCTCTACCGGACATGTGTCGCCATCCCCGACGACCCGGACTTCACACGGTGCGGCAATTGTGAGTGGAATAGGAGACGCTGCCACCCTGCTGCTCCGGAACGGCCATCCAGCTCGCGGCACAGCATCAAGTCCCCTGTTAGCGCGCGGGCGTCTGGTGGCAGCTTCACCGCAGTCAACGCCGCGGGTGATACCGAGGGTCAAACCGACGCCGCAGCTACCAAGGGAACTGAATCGGAGGGCGGCAAGGAGAAGCTGCCTGGAGCCAGCAAAAAGGGACCGCGGAAGTCGCTCCCTTCAACTCGAAAACCGCCCATACCAGAGACTCCTAGGCCTGGTTCGTCCCAGTCAGAAGCTGACTCCCTTCCGGAGATCAAAAAGGAGGTGCTCTGCCTCCGCGACGACGGGGTCGTCTTTACAGATCCGCCCATGATGCGCGGAGTGCCCCTGGCTAAGATCTCTCCCGACCACCCCTACTGGGAACCTGACTGGAAGCCCATCGAGGAAATGATTGAGCCGATCCGCCAGAAGCACCAGGAGAGATTCGAGCAACTGGAAAAGTCGGGCTCAACGAATCGCGAGAAGCACTTGGCAAATAGAGATGCGAAGCGCGGTCGCGTGGTCCTCCAATATCTGAAAGACGGCGAGCTGCATCCGTACCAACTCGTCGGCAAGGACTGGATCAACTACAGGATAGCGAACTACGATACCCTCTACCGGCTTGTCCAGCTGCTGACCGACGAGCTGCCCAAGATGAACCTCGACGTCAAGCCGTCAGAGTGGCTCCGCCACCGGTTGTGGGAGGTCTATCAGGAAACGGGCGGCAAGTTCGATGTCGCGAATTGGATAGCCAAGGCATACCACGACTGCAAGGTCGAGCATCTGCGCAAGAAGAACGGCTTCGCCCGCGTCGGTCGCCCGCCGGCCCATGCAACGAAGCAGGCCGAGGCCGCCAGCAGCAGCAAGAAGTCGGCGGCGACGCGGTCGCTGAAGCGCAAGGACCCGCACGAGACCCCCGAGGCCACGCCGAGCAAGTCAAAGGCGAACATCACGAGCAAACCGTCACCGGCCGCTCCGGCGGCGGCGGCGTCAACTCAACAACAGCCAAAGCCCAAAAAGATCAAGATCATCACCAGCCAATCCCAAGCGGGCAGCGGCGGCGGCGAGCCCTCTTCTCTGAGAAAGCCGCCCAAGATCATCCTCAGCAGCCCGTTCACGCCGTCCGCACCGGCGCCGACGGCGGCGGGCTCGGCGGCGGACAGCAAGCAAACCCTGGACTCGCTCCTCGAGTACGACGGCTACACGTCGAGCGACTCGGTCAGCCACGACCGGCTGCATTTCAACGACTGGCGGCTGCACCAGGTGCGGACACGCACGTTTGCAACCAACCCGCTGGTGACACAGTACTGGCACTGGGTGACCGAGACGACCAAGGACAAGAAGAACCCTAAGGAGATCGAGCACCAGGTGCTCGAGTGGGTTGAGCCGCCGCGCTGGGCCGTCTTCAAGAAACCTTACAATTTCCACTTGAAGCTGGATGATATCCAGGAGGTGACGTTTGCGGGGAGGGGGTGTACCAAGGTCATTGTCGCGCATAAGCAGGGGAAAGATGGCAAGGATACGCACCCCAGGGGGGATATCATGGCGCAGTTTAAGCGAGAGAGGACTAAGAGGAGGTTCTTGACTTTTTTGAGGCATAAGGGGGTCAAGGTTGCTGAGGTGGGCATGTGAGTGCTTTCTCTTCCCCGCTCTCTCTCTCTCTTCCCTACTTTTGGAAGCGCGCTTCCTTTGTGCAAGAGCTTTGTTGACAAGTGGCACCTCAGCGACGTCATTGAGTCCAAATGGGAGTCGATCTCGCCCAAGACCCTCCCCGTTCACTCAGAGTGAGTAAAAATCATAGGACGGCTCCCCAGAGCACGGCTTGTGTTGCGTGGCGATGATGCTTCACCACAAGACCCATCCAAGTAACAGAGAGGGTCTCGAGGAAAGGAGGACAACAAGAAATACGGGGGGTTATCGTGAGCTGTAAACATGGCTTTGGGCCATAGGCGGGGCCGTCATCCGCCTGGAAATGTTTTTGTTTTATGTTGTGAAGGAGCTCTCATATGCGTGGTAACGCCGTTTCTTATGTCATGCTTCCGATTCTTGTCTCTTGCTAATTTCGAGACATGCTGGCGGGCGGAGTCCGGCGTTTGAAACAGCGGTCCTGCTGACACCAGCGGATGCGGTCTGCACCTTTGGTTGTCTGGGAGAGGTGGGTGTGATGGGAACAAGGAGATCCCCCCTTCGGACGCTGGGGATGTTTGTTCATCTCTGTGGGGCGGGCGTCTCCTTAAGTACGGCTAAAGGGCTTGTATTTGGCAGGGTATTCACTCGTTTTCATGCAGCATGTACTCTATGTGTACTGATAGAAAGAAGAACACGCGGTATAATTACCAAGACATGGATGAGAAACTGAAACTGCCGTTCATCCTTTGTGATGTTGTTTGAGTGGTTGTACGGTCAATGTATTCTTGAGAGGTGCTGCGGTTGGTTTCATCGGGAGAGTTCCGAAGCCTTTCAGGGCCGTAAGCTATGTATGTACGTAGTCTTGGCGAACCAAAGCGGTGTAGTAAGATGCGGCAGAATGTAGTCCGGAAGCTGCCGCCAAAATTCCAGACGTCCGATTGCCCCGATTGCGACGTGCCTGCGACTTTCAAACTTCCGACACGGCAACGGCAGCCGCATCGTCGCCAGATCACCAAGATGTTGTACGAGACGATTGGCATTGTTCGTATCCCCGACCCAAACCCAACTGCTAAAACGACAAGACACCTAAAAAGGCTAACCAACACCCGTCAAACCGCAGGTCCGGCCAGGCAGCCTGAGCGAAGTGAAAGAGTGCGCGCCCATCCCCGTTCTCTCCTCTCCCTCCCCCCCCTACCCCCCATCCTCTGCCTTTCTTTACAAGCCGGACTAACCTCTATAGGATCGTCCTCACCGCCGGCCAGCTCATCCTCCGCCAGGGCGGCGTTATCCGTGACATTTCCAATTGGGGCATCTTCCACCTCCCGCGCGCCGTCTCGCGCAGCCAGACGCGCTACACAAAGGGCCACTACTTTGTCATGCGCTACGACGCCGGCATCGCCACCCACCAGGACGTGACTAAGACGCTGCGTGTCGACCCGCGCGTTATTCGAGCCGGCGGCGTTAAGCTCGGCGACGGCAAGCTCGAGACGCTGAGCAAGTTTGGTGCCGTCAAGTGGAAGAATATGGAGTAATCATAGTAAAAAGAAAAGAAAAACAAAAACGAGAGGGAGGGTCTGAGACTTATGATCTGGCTGGGTTGGGTTGGGCTAGGAGGGGTGGGATAAGCATAGAGACGCCATTGCCTGGACGGTTACACAAAGGAACACCTGCAGGGGATTTACTCGATAGGCAAGACGCCGAAGGGTCGGGTGGGTGTGCTTTGTATGGAAAGGATTGGTGCGCGAAGGTACAACAAACTTCCTATGTCGGAAAAGGCTGTCAGATGGAGGAGTCTACTCAATACCCAGCTCAAGGCATTGGGTCGAGAGAGATGCTTTTGTACGATCCGCGATGTACCATGCCATAGGTTTGCCTTGGCGAGAAGAAGGAATTCTTGGCCCATGGTGGAAGAACAATGGGGACAAATCAAACCTTAACGTTCTCATTTTCCTTTGCAACAGGCTGTTTCTCATCTCTTGACTTAGCAGTCACCAAAGACCCTAGAAACCCGTTCCCGCTCGGCACCCCGACCGCAATGCCTTCGTCGATACCAAAACGGTTATGCCTCGCCAGTCCGAATTCCGGGCCCGAGCGCATCAAACGTAAATATTTTGGCCGGCGGCGTCAGGACCATGGTTGCCAGCCCAAGCAGAAAAAAGCTCCCTGAAAGTAACACGGTATTCCTTGAGCAACATGCCAGCCAGTATGGTCACCTTGGTATGATAATATGTCTCTGTCTCGATTCGTCTAACCTCCGTATGCAACCAACCCAGCAATGCATATCTCCCGAAACCCATCGTCAACGCATAACCGGTCTTCGCTTCGGCACTCTGCTGTTATGCCCAACAAAGCAAACGACAATGGCAATGCAGACACTGCCATCATCTGCTCCATCCTCCCATTGCCCCAAAGCCTCGAACTGGCGAGAAGTGCCATTCACGGCACCATCAACCTCGCAGCTCGCCAGAGCACAGCACCCAATCGTTCCGCGTGGAAGACCCCAACCCTTCATTCCTCCAATTCCATGGTCTCCTCGTTCTGTGCCTTGACGATGCCTTTCTCCTTGCACCAGACCACAAACTCGTCAATGAGGCCCGGCCAAGCCTGGTCCTCGGACCAGAAACCAAGCGTCTCGTCCGCCATGGTCCTCTCGGCGAAAAGGAGAATCTGATTCCAAAGGTCCCGGCTAACAGACCGCGTCCACTTGCGTGCCCCTCCCTTGTCGACCCAGAACTTCTCCGTCAGATACCCTTTCCAGGCCTCGAGCCACTCGACGTTGGCAGTCGCCCAGCCGTGCATGGTAGGCTCGAACAGCACCTCCCAGTACGTCAGCGCCTCGCCCATGTCCAGCTCCCTCTTTCCGGCCTCCTTGCACGCGACGAACGCGCTGCGGTACACCTTCCTAAAAACCGCAGCATCCGTCTTGACGAGGCGTATCTGCGACTGGACATACTGCTGGTGCGCGTCCATGTCGGGCGAGACCGTGGTTGCCTGCGGGTCGTCCTTTCCTTTCCGCAAATCCCCCTTCCTGCGCGGCGCCTCCTGTTGCCGCGCGCCCTCCTTCTCGCGGGACTCCTCCCAGACCCGCTTCCAGCCCTTGACAAAACCCTGGCGAGTGATCTGGCCAAAGCTTTGCACCTGAACGATGTCTGCGAGAACAAAGAACTCGTAGCTGGCCGGGTCAACGTTTAAGGCCTGACAATAGGCTATGGTTCCGTCCATATCCAGCTCATCCTTGCTGGTTTCAGTGGCGAGAGAGTCGAACATGGCTTCCAAAGCCTGGTCGACGTTTGGTGGTCCATTGGCGGAGTCTGAGTAGAACCTACAAACGGATGGGTCGTTAGTTATAGTTCTACTCCGAAGAAAAAAATGCGATGAAATAGAAGGAGAAAGTATATAGAAACAAGAAGAAAAATATAAGAGAGAAGTGAAGAAGAGGTAAAACTAAAACCCAAGAAGGAAGTAAGAAAGGAAAGGAAGAGAAAAGACACGGGGTGCCGACCTTGACACTTGCTGAACTTTCAGGTAAGGTTTCTTGTCTTTGGCCGACTTGGGCGTCGACTTCTTGACAGCTTTCGGCATGGCCGCGTCTTGGGTGACTGAAGCTTGCTCGGGTGGTGCACTCGCTTCGGCGGATGGGATGTCCGGCCGGTCTTTTGGGGATTTTGGGGCATGGAGTGGTCGGCGGGGAGCAGGAGTTGCGTCACTGCCGTCCGTCTCGGTCGACGTTGTCTCAATGTGGGGCGACTTTGGGCGCGAGCCGCTCCCTTGTCTCTTTTTGAAACAGGAATTGAAAAAGCGCTGCATTGCTGAAGGGGCTGCTGCAACTGCAGATGTAGTCATTGAGGGAAGGAAGCGCCGATATCAGATGAAAATGACCGCTTCCAGTTTCCATTTAACAGGAACGTGCGGATATCCAAAATGACCAGCCGGCCCCACCGTGAGGGCGATTGTGCGATGAGGATGATGATGATGATGAGATAATAAAGATGAAGAAGAGGAGGAAGAAGGAGAGGGAGAGACGAGGAGGAAGCTGAAGACGACGACGATGGCTCCACTGGGAGGGCGGTTGTGTGAGGCAATGGATCTTGGAATCCAGTGTAAAGACGACTTCCTCCTCAAACGAGTGCGGTGCGGTGTAAATTAAGAGCAGAAGCAGACAAAAAGCAAGCGCAATGGAAGGACCAAGGGTACTTCGTATGTTTGGTTTTGATCGTGACATGCTATATGAGACATGGTGTCGCAATGCCGATCTCAAACTTCCAGATCAGTCCCCGCGGCTCGCAGGCATGCTCCCGTTCCACTTCGGAGACATGACCCGCGCCGGGCGACATCAGGCCGAACTGTGGGGGAAGAGAACTTCATGAAACCGAGAAGACGCGGAAAATGCTCTCACTCACTGATTGACGGCGGCCTCGATATCGTAATTGTTGTTCCTCAGGTACTGTCGCATTAACCCCATCCAACAGTCAGCGCGTAAACTCATGCAAGCAAGGATCGCAGGCCCATCAGTATCGGTATCGGGCCGAAAGACGACCCTCTCTCGGCCATGCGGTGCGAGAGAGCGATGCGGCCGGGCGGAACAGAGAGCACAAAAACCCACCGCCTGTGCGTCGTCCCTGGACGCTTTTGTGACTGAGACGAACTGCTCCGCAGCTAGTTGATGCCGTCTGGTCGAGGTGGCCGGCATGTTGGCGATGCGGCGCGCTCAGGCAGCTTTCGCGAGAATTGTGACGGGCCAGTTGGTGCTGTGTAGAAACGGGATTGGTACACGGTTGATCTTGTAGGCGGCTTAGGAAGTGGGCGTATTTGGGTGAAGAAGAACCGAGACACAGTCGAGATCGATGGCGAATTTTTGGCTTGCGTTTACTGCGACGCGTGAGGAGGAGGTTGAGGCCGTCGTCTGGCTCGGATTGACGCCAAGGAAATCGTCGCTCTCGAGGACGGGAGGCGGAGATCTTGCTGTCGAATCGGGTTGCGAGGCACGCGATAAGCCCCGGGGTCGTAACTCCGCTCGGACTCGCTGGAAGGTAAGAAGGCGGGGTGCCGGGAGCCGGTCGGGCAGGAGCTTGTTTCGAAGGAGTAAAAGGCTTTCACTATATCATTCAGCGCGCCAGCTAAAATATCCGATTCCGTCACGGCAGGATACCGGTAGGCAGCAAGGTTGAGCGGCGGATTCATTGCAGTGCAGGAATACGGTAGTCTTGGCATCGCGGGGCAGCTCAAGTGCCATGGGGCTTCAAGAACCTGGGATGACTTCTATTACGGGAAACAGTGCTCGGTAGTACACAGTCGACCTACGGGTATCGCCATGTTGCTCATCGTGCTATATACGGCCGCGTCCAGTACAAGTTCAGGGAGACAAAACACCGCCGATTATGTCATGATGAGAGACAACCAAGGTGTCCCGTCAGACATTAGACTGCCTCCCCGTCAATCTCCCCGCCAGCCACAAATATTGTTCTTCCGCGGTGTCACATAACCTCCAGAAGATTAGGCCTCCCAACCCTCTTGTGACCAAGAACCGAGGAGCTATTCACCGAGTGGCATCCCCTCGAGGCCGTCAAGCAGCCGGCGCCAGTTATCAGCCAGCATCTCCGCGTACTTGACCCGTTCCTGCGCCCAATCCTGGTTCCATCGCGAGACGTTGTACTGGGTATGCTGGAAGTAGCTCAGTTCGTCGCGAAGGCACTCCTTGACAAAAACGGACCGGTTGTGCTGGATTACAATCGACTCCTTATCCTATTGCTTGATCAGCATGGAGAAAACGTGGGATCGCATGACAAGACTCACCTTGATTATGGCCTCAACCACCTTCTCCATTTCGCCTGGCTTGACCAGCCCCTCTGGCTTGGCCCGCAGCGCGGCGAGCTTGGCCTCATTCGACGCAATCCGTTTCTCGAGGTAAGGAATATTGTCTTTATCGAGCCTCTCCCTGCGATCGAAGAGGTCCCTCAGGCTGACGAGCGCATCCCGCTGGCGTTTGAGATCTTCCAGAACTCCCTCATCCCAAGCCCGCGCCTCGTCCTCCATAAGGCTCTGCGCGGTGCGAAGATGCCTGCTCATGGCTTGGAGTCCGTCGTTGAGCAGCGGCACATCGTTGGTATCGGTGGCGTACGTGTCGGCGCTGACTTCGGTGAGCGAGATTAGAGAGAGGGCTATTCGAGCATGATCGGCTGCAACCCCCTCGGAGCGTTTGACCAATCTGTCCATCACATTGCAAATTGTGACGTAGAGTTCGGCGCTGCGCTTGACACCAGCACGAGTGCGGCTGAAGAGGTCCTCCAGAGTCGGAGGTAGCGAGTCTTCGAGCCCAGGAGGCAGACGCCGCCCGGTGAATTCGTCTTGGACGGAAATTGTGGCTTGCTTGCGCCAGACAGCGAGTTCCTGGGTCAAACCGAATCAGTGATCGTCGGCGATCCATGGGTCAGGCCTCTTACAGTTGGCACGGTCAGGAACATGATAACCAGCTGTTCCTGGCTGAGAACCGGATGCCGAACGAGCGCATTCAGAAACCTAGCCAGGCCACGACGTCGTTTCTCTATAAAGGCGCCATCGTTCGACAGGTGGTTGCCGTTGACTGACACAGGTTAGCACGCGAATACCCTCGGCCGGAGTTCAGGTACCAACCGGCAACTCGTTTTGGCGGCAGGAGCGGCAGAATTCGGAAGGGGTATCGTTTGTGCAGGCAGTCGAGAAGCCACACAAAGTCGCTGTACCGCCGAATAACCTTACTTCCTCTCCTTGAACTTGTCACCTCGTAGTTGTGGTGCTGGAACAGGAACATGCCCTCTTTCTCCGGCATCAGTGTCACAAGGATGTTCTCCTCCACAGCCCGCCCCGTCCGGCCACCGCCAATTGTCCTACTGGGTGCCGGTCCTGGTGCCAACGGCAGGTTGTCGCCCGGCTCCCGGGTGGATCCGCTTCCACTGATGCCGCCGAACGGCCCGGGAGCGGTGTGATTTTGCGAGGACTCATCGAACACACCGGCGGAAGGCGGATTGCCGTCAAAGAATCCCCATTCGCTTGGGACTTCTCCTACTGAACCGGTCCCAGAAAGAGGAGCGCTAGTTGTAAATGTCGACGTCGTGCGGTGGTGCGGCAAGGTGGCTTGCGGGCTGGATCCATAGGCCCCGTTCGTGGTTTCGGCCAAGGCAGGCGCATCGTGACCATTCAGCCGCGGCGGTTCAGGAGCGTGGTTATGGTTTCGGTGCACGTCGGGCGTGTTCCAGGGGTCTTCCGGGTACTCCATCGACGGGTTTCTCAAACTACGGTGCCGCTTCGAAGACTCGGATGCGGACTCGGGGGCTTTGGGTGGCGTCGTCGCAGGGCGCTGTGGTGGCCTAGCGCCGAGTTCCGCGAGATGGGGTAACGCCGGCCTCTTCTCGATAAGGCCGTGGAGGTCAGGCTGGGGGAGATCTGGGGGATTGACATGACCAGGTTAGCTTCGACCCCATATGGAGATCGCGGGCCCACTCCAGCACAGCAGCAACATCGGCCGGAAATTGAGGCCGATGGGGAAGGAGCTTGATGTTATAGACAAGATAAGGTGGTGATAGGCGCAGCGCACCATGCAAGGGGAGGAGGAATGAGAGGCCAACTCACCTCGACGCCGCTCGTCTACGCCATCGAGACTAACTGCCTCGCCTTCTTGAGCTAAGCCAACCAAGGCTAGGAGCACATTGAACTGGTTTCTGTCCAAGGTCGTCTCCTCGCCGCCACCGCCAGGCGCAACAACGCCCATTATGCGCGTTTGAGCATCGGAGCCGAGCTTTGCGGCAGCGAGAGTCCGGGCAATCCCGCCAGCATCGATGCGCCCCCCGCTTCCATGTTCGGCAGCGACAGTGTCGAATGCGTCGATGTAGGTGTCAGGCACGTCGGAGGCGGGGAGGAGATTCCGGATCAAGTCGGTACGGGTCTGCTGCTTTCGCGGCGTCGGCAGATCCCAAGGCGAATCGGATCCGGGATCGTCGTCGGCGAACAAGGCCGTGGTCGTTGACCTCGTCATCGGGGGCTCGTCTTCAAACAAGGATGATCTGTTGTTGTTGCCGAAGTTGCTCGATCGCAAGTCGGGCGAACCGTCTGGCGGGGAACTGCCGAAGAGGGACATGTTGATTATAAGGAGTTATCAATGGGGGAAGCAGACCGAGGCGGCAGTTGTCGAGAAGGCTGTCGCGACGTCTGCTCGTTTCCCGGGAAGCAAGTGCAGCAGTCGGGAGCTTATCGGCAGCGGCTAATTGAGGCAAGCAGCCAAGACAGGACTCGTAATCAGCGCGTAAGTTACTGCCCGAAAACGGCAAACGTGTAGACAACCGAGGAGGAAGGGCAAGGCGATTCTTTTGAGCATGTCAACATTAGAGCGGAATTTCAAGGGGCGACGCCAGAGATGTCGACAGCAATTGGCGAAAACAGCTGCACGAGAGGGAGCTGGAGGAGGCGGGAAGGAGAGCAAGGACCACATGACGAGGACAGGGGTTAACATGTTCACGACGATAAGGATGTTCAGCCACAGTAGAAGCCCACCAAGCCACAGACCGAACTACCGCCAAAGCGCAAAAATCGAACGGTGCAATCGGCAACTTCAGGGAAATAATACATGGTGAATTGTACAGTGCTGGCTCGGCAAATACAGAGGGTAACGCTGGCAGAACTGGAGCATGCCCACTTCTAAAACAACCTCGCGGCCTCTGGATCGGCCTCCTCCTGGGTTTTGCGCTTTGCCGGTGGCTTGGTGCCGGGCACCTTGAAGTACAAACTCGGCGACTCGCCCGGCTGCAGCATGTGGCTGAGGTAGCCCCGGTGCGCCGGATCCCGGTAGTACTCGATATCCTCACGGCTTGTCGGATCGGGCAGGCGGTAGTAGTGTTTCTTGGAAGCCTTCGCCTCGGCCAGCACCTCCTCGACGTGCTCCGGTCCCACGGGGAGCGGCTTGTCCGTGTTGACACTCTCTCCCTTGACCAGTCGCCTGATGGCCTCCTTTGTGTAGTACCGGGTAATGATCTTGCCGCCGGCGTCCTCGACCGCCTTGATCGCAGAGGCTGACGCCCGAGACACTATTATGTCAATAGGCGTCTTTAGTTTGTCTCCGCCGCGAGCGAGGAGCTTGATGCCGTCTTTGATCGACCTCCCGACCACGCCCGACCGAATGATTTCGCGAGGTGTGATTTGCTTGGTGGGGTCGATGCGGCCGGCGTCGATCCAGGCTTGGAGACTGTCGAGGTTCAATTCCATCATTTCTGGGGCGCGGCTGTGATGAATGAGCGATGAGGCCGATGCGAACACGCGCAGAATCAGCACTCACTGGTTGACGAAGCCATGCCGACCATGGCTGACGATGAGCGGAGTCTGGCCACCCTGAAACCACGGCTTCACCTTCCCATGCTGTTTCTGACCCTTGTGACCGCGACCTGCCGTCTTGCCGTAACCGGAAGAGGGACCGCGACCTCTCCGAATGCGCTTGTGGTAGGCGCCCTTGTTGTCGGAAAGGCTAGCGAGGATCGATGCGCAACGTGTCTGCACTGAGAGGGCGGCAAAGAGGGAGACCAGACTTGTTGTTGGTCGTGCTGGCGCACCAATTGCCGCAGCGCAGCATTGCGCCGCCTGCGCAAACGGTAGCCTTGGGGGCATTGTCGGTGGGTGTTGTGGTGTGGAAGCCGGGGCTGTCCCATCAAAAATTGGTTCGCGATTGCCAGAACTGCACGCATGTCTCTTGCAGTTGCAGTGGGTCCGCGACCCAGATTGAACTGCAATGATGACTCAGCAGGTCCATTGACTTAAAACGTCGCCTCGACAACTCACAGTGATCTGGGGGCAATATACCGCGGTCTTCACGGTACGGAGCTGCACACCAAATTTCTAACAGTACAGTACCTACACGTAATCCATCCAGGGCTGCAGCCTCGGGAGTGTGCTGATCCGTCGAACAACACGAGCTTTGCCCTCATAGATACCTTCATGGGCCTCACCCTTGGCGACAACGGGGCACCCCGTGGCTTTATGTTCGTTTCCCTTTCAGAGACTCGGATGCGTCAGGAATGGAATGGCACGTAGTGCAGACCTTGCTTACGTTGCACCACTTCAGCCCAGTTCCCAGCTATGGGACGACAACCGCCAGCCTACAATTCCAGGCAACGATGCACTGACTGGCACGACATCATGCCAGAATATTGGGTTCTTGATTTGATCCAAGTCCCAACTCTCAGCCAGCTAATCATTGAACCTGCGAAGGAGGCCCCGGGCTCTTGCCTATGATGAAGCGGTAGCTGGTGATGAGGCGCAGGTCCCTGCTTCGGAACTCGCGTTTGACGCCCTCGATCAGCAGCTGCACCTGCTGCTCGGAGTAGTTCCAAACCCGCGTGAACAGGGCGGGCGTGTGCGAGGCCACCGACATCTGCATGTGCATCTGCTCGAAGCGGCCGAGCTCCTTGAGCGCTGGGTCCTTGGCCCAGGGACCGATGGGTATCTGTCTAGGTTAGTATTTACGGTCTCTTATCCAGTACTAAGGGAAAGACAGCTTGGTCAGCTCACCCTGATGATCTTTTCCTGTACGTCCTCGAATCCGGCATCAATCATCCACTGCTTGTGCTTCTTGGCCACGTTGATCTGCTTTCCGTACATCTTGGAAGCGTCGTCCAGCTTCTGCACCCACTCCTTGGTCCACAAGGCCCTCTCAAAGCTGTCATCGTCACTGAATATCCACGCGTCGTACTCCTGCATCTCGCACCAGCCCCCGGGCTTCAGGTGCTGCCGCACCTGGCGGTAGAAGTTCCCCCAGTCTGCCACGGTGCCCGATAGCGCGCGGCCATGGATATAGTCAAATTTCTCATCCTCGCGGTACGTCCACTCATCCTCGTAATCATCGACGTGAAACCGGCAGTTGCCCGGCACCCACTCGGGCTGGATGGGCGAGAGGTCGACGCCGAACACGGACGCGCGGGGGAACTCGTCTGCCATATCGATGGCCCATATCCCCGTGCCGCAGCCGAGGTCGAGGATGCGGAACTCGGCGCCGCCGCCGCCCATCTCGGTGCTGCGCTCCTCGCCGGCGGGGTGCGGGATCTTGAGCGGGGCCGTGTAGAGCGCACCCTGCAGGAGCAGGCGCCAGATGTGGTGCTGCAGGTCGAGCCGCTCCTGCTCGGCCTCGTCGTTGGGGAGCACGTATTGCCCGGACCGGTAGGCGTGGTACCGCCGGCCGTTCTCGTAGACGTAGTTTGTGATGGACGATGTTATGGAGCCGGTGCGGCTGGATCCGGCGAGGGATCCGTAGGCCGAGTCGCCGTCCGAGAAGTCGTTGTCATGTTCGAGGTCGTGCTGGGTCGGACACGGAGTCAGTTGTTGTCTTCAAGGTATAGAGGGGTGATTGGTAGACGGTTCCAAGGACGCACGTCGATTTGGAGAGGAGCGGGAACATCTTCCTCTTGATGTTGCTCCCCGTCCTCCAACCCCGCTTCTTCCTGCTGCGGCTCCTGCTCAACCCCCCCTGGTCCTGGTGGCGCCCCGCTGGGCACTTCAGATTGTGTTTTGGGTGGGTTGGAAGATGCCATGCCACGTCGATTTCTTTTTATTTTTCTCCTCTCCCGGTTCTCTTACACTACCCTGTATTTTGTAACGTTCGCTAATCCCTGGTTCCTGGCGGAGGTAGAGCTAAGGTTTGGATGGCGCGCCAGACAAGAGCTGGATGGGCCCAGTTGATATGGGTCTCGAAGACAGCAGGTGGGGGCGGGGCTACCCATCCATGCTCCTTCAACCGAATATACAGCCCAACCCGAGGTTGTTAGTTAGCGCGGAATTTAAGTATGTATACTTCTTCCACTTCCAAGTTCTTGAGATTATTGAAGTCCTACGCTAACGCGCAAAACAGGGCTGGATGAGTAAGGAGAGAGCCGAACATCTGTCCCACCCGCATACCTCCACAGGGAACATAATCCGGATCCGCGAGTGGTTGCTCTGATCCACCGGCAGCCGGGCACATCCGCTGTCGCCTTCTTCCAGTTTCCAATACCGGGCTAGGGTAGCCATGACAAAAGAGGGGTTCCTGGCCACCTAGCGGAATTGTTTCGGCAGGGTTAGATGGGGAAAGATTCCAAGCGATTGCGCCTCCAGACCACCGGGGAGAGCCGATGCATGTCTTACTGTGAATAGATTGTCTCACCGGAGCGCCATAATCTGCGCACAGTGCAGCGTCTCGCCCGCAGGCCCAGCATCATGGCGTCGGCATCCGGCATCAACAATGGCACCACCAACGGCACCAAGCTCGTGGTAGTCGTGGGGGCAACCGGCAACCAGGGCGGCTCGGTGGCCCGGCGCTTTCTCCAGGACCCTCGCTATGCCGTCCGCGGCCTGACCCGCGACCAGTCCTCGGCGGCAGCACAGGAGCTGGCTATGCTCGGAGTCGAGACGGTCCGGGCGGATCTCGACGACGTCGAGTCCCTCAAGGCGGCGTTTGCCGGCGCCAATGTGATCTTCAGCGTCACCAACTATTGGGAACCCTTCTTCCGGCCAGACTGCCGCGCCAAGGCGCAGGAACTCGGCATCAGCTGCCGCAAGTATGCCTACGACATCGAGTATCAGCAGGGAAAAAACATTGTCGATGCTGCGGCGACAGTAGTTGACTCGCTCGACGACAACGGTTTCCTGGTTTCGACGCTGAGCCAAGCGGCCAAGTGCAGCAACGGCAGGTTCAAGGACCTGTACCACTACGACGCAAAGGCCGATATCTTTCCCGATTATGTGGCGGCGACGCACCCCAGGCTGGCGGCCAAGATGTCCTGCATCCAGACGGGCTTTTTCACGACGAGCCACAAGATTCTGCCCGATTCCTACTTTAGGAAGGTAAAGTAGCCCCGTTCCATTCCTTTCCCTCAACTATTCGTCATCAAACACGGCCACAACTGACCTCCAGCCAGCTGGATGACGGCACATTCGAAATGCGCTTCCCTTGCCGCCCAGACAAGCCCATCCCGCACCTCGACGTCAACGCCGACACGGGTAACTTCGTCTACGCAGTGCATCAGAGGCCGCCCGGCAAGCACTACATGGCCGGCGAGTACCTCAGCTGGGCCGAATTCGCGAAGACGTGGGCCAGAATCACAGGCGCTTCGATTCGCTATAAGGAGGTCAGCTTTGACGACATGGTGAATGAGGTGGGCGACCGGGATCTCGGTGTGGAAGTGGCCTTGATGTTCCTCTACAGCTCCGACCCGGGCTACGACGGGGGTATGGACCTGCTCAAGGCCGAGGACCTGCGCAAGGTGAGAGCCAGCCCGTCTCAAGGCCCCCAACTGACCTAGTGATGAACGGTTGCTGACTGTCCCAGGCGGGCATTGACTGCCCTATGCTTACCGTCGAGGAGTCACTGGCCCGACAGGAGTGGACTGCGGTGATAAACAAGGGGACTGCGCGGTGATGATTTCGACTTGTGTGTGTATTATCAGCGTCAGCTAAGAGGTAGGTATAGAATACAGTTGAGCAAGGAGGGATATCCGACTACCGCTACCTTCAATACCACACTGCAGCCTGAAACGATGCAACAGTTCAGTGGCGGCTTACACTTTCTTACAAAGGCATGCCTGTCAAGTCCCCTGGTGAAGTGATCATTTCGACAACCCCATGGCCTACTGGCACAATGTTCGGTTGCATCCTTGTTGGAGTTTGGACTGCTTGTCAATATTTCGCGGTGCAAGACCGTTTACTCGGATCCGCGCGCGCAGGATACCGGTAGCTTTACACCAAGCGCTCTACATGTACACGTACAAGAGCTAAGGGGGGAGGGCTGATACGTAGTATTCCGTTGCATGCGCCGAGAAGGGTGTGCATATGTGTCACCCTCAGCGTCTCAACCAGCCACAGCGGAAACCATCAAGCTGTGCCTCGAAGGCACTTCGGCCAGCGGGATTCGGTCGAAAGATGAGTCCGAAAGTTGGTCGTCACCGGCTAAATTCAAGTATCAGTGCGAGCTTATAAGCAAGGAAGTCCTAGGTACACCTTGGTTCACAACTTGCATTCTCACAATCGGGAATACCTCAGGAACGGTCGGCAAAGTCACAGAGTTCATCCCCAGAGCTGATCTTCACAAGGAATCAAATAAGAATTAGTCCACTCCACGAGTCCTGACTTCTCAGTTTCGTCATTTCTCTGATCTTCCCCATCACCAATGCCGCTCGACAAACTCTCCCCGCCCATCCACTCCCTTCCCCATCTCCTCCTATACTCCCTCCTCCTCATCGTAAGACGACCCCAATCATGGCTCGTCAAAGCCTACATTCTCCACCCACCTATAAGTCGCATAATTACTAACAGGAGCCCCCCACAAGCCGATCTATCACTTTCTCCTCGCGCTCTACAACCTCTTCCTCCATCCTCTACGCTCCTACCCAGGCCCCCTCCTCTCCCGCGCCTCCGCCCTCCCGCACGCCCTCCGCCTCCTCTCGGACCACGGCCCCGTCATGGTGCACGCCCTGCACGAAAAGTACGGCCCCGTCGTGCGCGTCGGGCCAAATCATCTGACGTATACCGACCTGCGCGCCTGGAAGGATATCTATCATGTCCGCCATGCACACGGCCACCGAAATGATGGCGGTTCTGGTGGTGATGTGCGCGAGAACGGCAAGAGCTGGCTCTTTTATCGCGAATCGGTCATGGAACGGCCAGATGGTGAGGAGCCGGTGAGTTTGCTGGATGCGGATTGGGAGGAGCATTCGCGGTTGCGGAGGGCGTTGGCGGGCGGGTTTAGCGAGAAGGCTATGAGAGAGCAAGAGGTGGTTATTCAGGGGTATGTGGATTTGTTGGTCCGGGGGCTACGGGGTAGGATGGAGAGAGGGGAAGCGGTGGATCTTGTCCAGTGGTATAACTGGACGACGTTTGATGTGATCGGGGATCTGGTGTTTGCCGAGTCGTTTGGGTGTCTCGAGGGTGAGATGGGGCATCCGTTTATCAGCATGGTAACTGGGTTTGTAAGGCAGCAGGCGGCACTGTTGGCGGTTAAATACGCGGGACTGTCGCGGTGGCGGGTGGTTAAGAGCGTTCTGCGCTGGGCTATCAAGCGCATGGCCGGCGACAAAGCCCAGACGTTGCATGAGATTATGTGGGCTAAGCTGAAGCGGAGGTTGGACATGAAGGAGGAGCGGACGGATCTGTTTGAGGGCCTGATGAGCAAGAGGAAGGAATGGGTGGGTGGTCCTATCTTTGTTGCGCATTTTTCTCCTGTCTCTCAAGTTCTCTCCTGTTTTCTTTCCTTCTCTTTCTTTCCTTCTAACTCTTTTCTCCTACTTTCTTTTCTTTCTTTTCATCTGTTCCTTTTACTCTCTTTCTCTCTTTTCTTCTTTTTTTTCTTTCCTTCTCTTCACTTTTTCTTTCACTTTTTCTTTCCTTTTCTTCTCTTTTTCTTTCCTCTCCTTTCCTTGTTGTTTCTTTCCTTCCCTTTTTCTTTTCTGTTGTTCTCTTCTTTTCTCTTTTCTTGTCTTTTCTTGTCTTTACTTTTCTTTTCTTTATATTTCAGACTGATGTGAGAATTGGGGCGGTCAGATGGCTGACTGAATCGCAGAACCTCAGCATCGCCCGCCTGCAGGCCAACGCGACCGTCATCGCCGCCGCAGGGTCGGAAACGACCGCAGCACTCCTGTCGGCCGTCACATGGTTCCTCCTTATCCACCCCGAGGTGATCGACAAGCTCCAGCACGAGGTGCGGTCCTCATTCAACAGCGTCTCAGACATCACCATCGGCTCGGTCGGCCGGTTGCCCTACCTGTTGGCCTGCCTCAACGAGGCACTGCGCCGGTTCCCGCCCGCGGTTGGCAATCTTCCCCGGCAAGTGCACGAGGGCGGCGAGGTGATTGCCGGACGCTACGTTCCGGAGAACGTAAGACGCTGTTTTCTCTATCGAAGCCTGAACTTGAATTGCCAGACACTGATGAGACTTTTCTAAAGACAATGGTTGAGGTTCAGTTTTACGCCATGAATCACAGCTCCCAGCACTGGCATGATGCGCTCGCTTACCGTCCGGAGCGGTGGCTGAACAAGGTCGTCAGAGATATCGGAGAGGTGGCCGATCATAGCGGGGAGAAGGGCGTTAACGAGGACCGTCTCGAAGTCATGCAGCCGTTTAGTGTCGGCCCGAGACACTGCATTGGTAGAAAGTCAGCTCTTGCCCTCCACGTGTCGTTGAAGGCTGCCGAGATTGCTAATTCACATAGCCTCGCGTACGCCGAAATGAGACTCATCCTCGCACGCATCATCTTCGAGTTCGACATGACACTTGCAGACCAAAGCAAGAACTGGCTCGAGAATTGCAAGCCTTACACAGTATGGGAGAAAGCGCCGCTTATCGTTCAGTTGGCGCCGGTCAAGCGAGGCTAGCTGCATAATGTTTCGGGGAGAGACTGTCATTATACTACTAGCTGAGGTACTTGAAAGGTATCAGAGGGGGTATCTGCCTACTACTATGAAAAGTATTTGCGGGGTGTCTGTGTCTGACCCTTCCTCTTCTCCAACTCCTTGATCTTCGCTTCAGCGCGTTTATACCCTGGCTCCTCCTCTAGCCGCTTTAAGTACGCGTATACCTTGGGATACTTGTCCGCGAGCCTGTCCTTGCCCCTGGCGTCGTGGACTGCGGCGCCTCTTTCCCGCACCAGCTGCAAGGGGAAGCTCATGAGGATATCGGCCGTAGTAAGGTCGTTTCCGCAGAGATAGTTGCCATTGTCTGGGGACGTCTCGAGCTGAGACTCGAGAAAGTCTAGGTGGTGGATCAGCTCTGGTATGAGAAAGGCGGCGGACATCTTGTCGGCCACGCTCGACGTGATAGGGCGGATGAAGAAGGGAATCTTGGGACCCTTCAATACTGCGTTGGAAGTTCGTTAGAACCAAAGACTTGAATCCACAGCCGGGCATGAGGATGGCTTACTCTGCAGAATCAGGCCCACCAGGAGCGGCGGCATCAGGCTGCCCTCGGGATATTGCAAGTAGTATTGGTAGCGCAGCCATTCATCCGTCTCCCCGCCGGGCTGTCCTTCCTGGCCGTCGCGATAGCGCTTTGGGAGCAGGGTCTTGCCATTTGCGAACTGCTCGGTCAAGTACTGAGCGATGACGCCACTTTCGGCCAAAACGACCTCCTTCTGCTTGGTTGGGTCTGCCGGATCTGGCAGGGTGATGGTGACAATGGGCGATTTGCCCAAGGGATGGATTTTGCGCAGCTCAGGGGGTGCCTGCATGTTTCCGTCGCGGTAGAAAAACTCGACATCGTAGGGAAGACCGAGCTCCTCGAGAAGCCAGACGATACGCTGGGCACGGGACTCATTGAGCCTGCCATGATGTCAGATTTGGAGAGTATGTTCCGCTGAGAGATCTTACCAGTAGAGCTTCACTCGAGGCTCAGTTGTGCGTTGAGAAGCCATGGTGGACAATACTTCGACTGAACCGGACTGATAGAGATTAGTTCGCCGTGTCTTTCACCTGTGTGATGAGAGCATATCATTCCGCAGCAGGAAGTGAAAAAGAGGAGAGGATGAGGTTGGATATATAAATATCTTTCCTCAGTCTGAAGCTAACCTCGAAGATTCAGTCCTCGTGAACTAAACAAAGTCCGAGCTGCCGGACAAACCCGGAAGTTGCGCATTCGCACTCGCCAACAATGCCCTGCAGGGCAATTGTGAGACATGATTGGTCCCGGGGAACTGTCCGGGTGAAAAACCCAAGAATGGAACAGAGCTCATCGTTTGATTCGCTCAGAAGCCGGCGCCGCCACGAGTTGAAAAGAGAATTACGGCATGAAAGAAACGCTGAAACGGGCTCTGCCCGACTTTGAATGTGTCCGAATCGATGATGTATCCCTGCCATGCTCACTTCACACTTGCGCACCCGTCCGGTCCCGGGTCGACCTTTAAACTGGAGACTCTGCATATCCTGGTGAGGTACCTGCATAATTTATAAGGACTTCCGTCAACATCGATTTGAGCGTATTAGGATGGCCTCGGGTTGCTGACGGGAGAGACATCATGTTGTCAGCATGGGTTGATGGAGAGCAAAGTGACGTCGAATTCGGGAAAACACGCCAAGTCCTCCGCCGATGCCTTGTCGGGACTCGGAAAGCGTTGAAGAACGCGCCAATCACATGGAACCCTTAGCGTCTCTGGGACCAGGGGTGTGTGTGTCCAGGACCGGATCGGAAGGCATCACAAGGAAGCCCCTCAACTGTCTCCCAACCAAGCACTTTACTGCCGCGAACATTCATGCCGCCGGGAGTCCTTCGAATTCAGGAAGACGATGGGAGCACGTCAACACGAATCACGCCCTCTCTTACTTTCCATCACTCCATCTTCAACATGCCACAGGAAGCAAGCTGAACACCAATACCTAGCTAGTTAACTGTTACAGACGAGCATCACGGCGGTTCCAACGATCGACAAATCACGATCAGTCCGGGACCCGCCACCAACTGAATACCAACCCATTTCCCGCGATCCCCGGCGAGATTTCGCAACCCAATTTACAAACCCCCATCGCCTCGCGCTGCCCCCGTCCACATCCACCGCGAAACAATCAACAGCGCCCTCACTCGCGCAATCCTCCTTCTCGTCTTAACATGCCGCCGCTTCCACGACAAGACGACGGTCGTTTTCCGCGCGCGAAACAAGTCCGCATTCCGGCGCGCCGCTGCGCGAGCTCTCCCGCTCCAGATGCACCATAACCTATTCTTGCGCTGGTCCGTCTACCGCGTCGGCTCGCGCAACCCTGCCTTTCTTCCGCCCCTCGCCCTGCCGTGTCGTTCCCTGTGGGTCCGAACGAGCTACTCTCTCCGCTCACAGGTTTTCGGCTCTCGGTTGCATTGATGCCGGTATGACGACGACTAAATAAGCGGCGATATCAAGATGGGTTGCCGTCGATCGCCATAGGTTGTCGTCGTCCTGGCGCTGGCGGAGAAGGTGTCGCAACCTGAAGGTAGTTGAGTTCCATCTCGGGGTGGAATAACCACTGTAGTGACAGCATTGGGTTTGCGGTTGCCTCAATCGCCACACTGGCGCGGCGAGGGCCATGTTTCGCCGGCTAGTCGAAGCGTTAGCTCGTGCATTCCTGCGCGCGAAGCGGGTTGCTTTGCGTCGTTGAATCACAGCGGGAAGTGGCGTGGAATGTCACTGGCGATGCCTCTGCAGGCGTCCGCCGACGTATTTCAGGTGGACTCTCTGTGGAGTGGGGATGGGTGAGGGGGACGCTGGAGGACGTGCTCGGGTGGAGAATCATGCTTGCGGAGGAGCGCGACTTCGAGTGCCACGAGCAAGAGGAAGGCGGCGGCTATCAAATGCCAAGCTGGATGCTCACCTGGTGCCCTGAAAACCCATGGCATACCACAACCTTGCTCTGAGAACCACCCGAGATCGCGCTGCAATCCGAGCTTCACGTCGGCACCGATGGACCAAGGTGGATCGTCTCAGGACTGATGTCCGGCTCGGCTCGACTTGACTGCCACCGCCCGCGCAAGCGGTCAGGGACGGAGCCGAGGCCCACGAGTGTCGGCGGTGGAAGCTGACCATGATCACCCAGGCCTTGCCCGTCGGCGTTTGTCCCCGGACTACCTCCGGAAACACGCATCAAGAGTGCCATGGTGTTTTGGGGAAGGGGCGGGAGCCAGGGGGAGGGGGAGCAGAATCAGGAGGCGAGTGCATGTGCTTGGCTTGCTGGCTCGCTCCGGGCGGTAGAGCTAAGGGGGCATTTGAGAGAACCTGCCGTGTAAGGCGTGCCAGGGCACTGTCATCCTTGAACCGTTGGCGTTGGGGATTCGAGGTGCTATTTCTGCTGGGGCTCTACTCGTCTTGCGGCTGTGTTGGGTTCTATTCTCCTGGCAGTTCGGCATACACTGTGTTGTACATCATGACATCCTGGTTTAAAGTATGTTTGCCATTTTAGATCCTGAAGTGCCCTTTGGGTGAGTACGGTCGACAATTACCTAGGGCAGTACGAAATAGATCCAACCCGAACAGACCTCGACGGGATATCCCCAGCTGCCTCTGTCGCGACTTCGACTGCAATCATCTGGGTGCTTGGAACCTGACTCCATTGTGTTTTCGCGTCCAAATTTAGCAACACCGACTGCGGTGTACAGTGCACCCAACCATGCAATTGTCCCAACGCCCCTCCCCGACGCCGGCACCCAGCTTCTCACGTCGGCAGCCCGTGTTGCCGCCCTCGTTTATCCAGCATTTGCCATCGAGCCCGATCAGCCCTGCTCTTCGAATCCCTCACCTGCGCATGGCAGCAGCAGCAACACCACGACGACAACGACGACGGATAACAACACAAACAACAATGCTGGAAGCAACGGGGAAAGCAGCAGAAGCGGAGGCAGGAGGAGGGACGAGAAAGCCCGGAAGCGGAAGATATGAGTCAAGCGCAACCTGAGCAGCGCAGTCTCCTGGAACACACACACACGCACAAGGTTGCACAAACTGAACAATCATAAGGATAAGGCAACTTGCGGGTTGGAAGCGTTCGGGGTTGTCAACGGCACTTACCGATGAATACAGGCCTGTCGTGGTTTCCGTTGTTGAATGCAGAAGACGGGACTGACCGTGAGCTCCGCTTCTCGTCCTCTTCTTAGCTTCCTTTTCCCTCAACCCTACAGTGCAATTTGCGTGTTAGTTGGTTCTGAGCAGGTGCCGATCAGTGTTTGCGATGCGTTCCTAGAGGTAGTGACCAGGGATTGAATCCTGCCATGATCAATCAGCCTGCAGCGTCAATCCACCGCTGATTTCAGGTGGATGGCCCCCCATTGCAAACATCCAACTCATAAAATGCGGGTGAGATGGAAGTCCAGGGTAAATGCGGCATGAAATTGGAGATGAGTGAGTAAGGCTGAGGAGGCTGTCCCAAGGCTCCGGTCAGTTCAGGAGCTGTGTGGGAAGGCCTCCAGTTGAGCCCCTGCCTGTTCGAATTGGGCAATGCCGTCTCCATACTAGAGCAGCTACGACAGGTGATGGACCAGGCGGGTTCGTATGCCAGGGGGGAGGTACCCTCGCTGAACGAGTCTAGGCGGGCTAGGGACGATAAGAATGCCAACGGATGGTGGTCAAATGCCTTGGAAAGAACCGGGCTGGTGCAGGCGAGGGGGGTGGCGGCCGTGCTGGGGGCCGGTGCGATGGCGTTTCACTCTCTTGAGGGGGCGTTGAGGGAGCTGAGGCGGTTGGATGACGCTGAATGGGAGATTATGAGGAGAAGGGAGCTTACGGCGGGAAGCTTTACGGAAGATCCGTCCTGGAATCACTAGACCGACGAGGAGAGAGCGGAGCGGAAGAAGCTCGCCAGGCTGAGCCGATGCGCGAAACAGGAGGTGTGGGAGGTTATGGGGGCCTGAGGGACCTGAGACCGCCGTGTGGTTTGTTTTGACTATCCTGGAGAGGTACGGCACGGCTTCCAGTCTGGCGGGTTGGTCCTGTCATGAGGAGGGAGATACTAACCAGTGGTGTTGCAGTCCCTGTGACGACGATGTCGCCACGAGTCAAAGGAACTTGTGATCTGCGGTTGCCGAGATTGTTGCCAAGGATAACGCGCTGTCGAGGAAGGTCAAGAAACTGTATCCGGAGCCGGTGGCTGGCCTGCTCGGGAAGATGCTGCTTCAGCAACCGGAGCACTCAATTCTCGCATCAATGGCGTGGGAGTCTCCTGCCATGTCGACATCGGCGACGACTCCGACTCCGACTCCGAGCCAGGGCCGCCTACCCCGTCCTCGTCCGAGCTTCCTTTCCCGGACACCATGCTTGAAGGATCTTTTGCCACCCTGGCAGAAACAGCCCTCGGTGACATTCTTATCCCAGTTCCAAACGCAGAGTCCGCTGAGCCCAACCACTCGACGGCTGCAAGTGGTCGTGACAGCACGGCCCCCGAATCCAGCCACGTATCACCGACCCCGCCAGACTCAGCCGGCTTCAGAGTCGTAACTGTCTCCTGTGCCGGCACCAACATCTCCCCCGTCCGCTCCGACGCCCTGCCGCAACCAACCCCAGAAACCGCGATCTCAGCAGACGCCGTCTTCCAACTCCCTGGAGTAACAGACTAGGTTGTCCTCGACTTCTTCGGCCGCGCCCTGCACGTCTGGCACCGCTTCGCGCGCCATTCCCTCCCTCATCACAGCGACGACAAACTGTTGAGCTCAAGCAGGGACCAACACTCGCCGAGTCACAATTGGAAACTCGAAAGACTTTTCGCCTCGGCACTTCCGCGAGCTTGCATGCCAACAGGGTGGATGCTCGAGCTCAGCTGGCTCGGCTGGGGAATGAGCAGGTGACTAGGATGATTGGGCTTGTGGTGGGCGAGCTGGAGAGGAGGTGTCTCCTTTCGTTGATTCGCCTTCGGGGAGTCCTTCGAGCTGGGTGGGTGGTGAGCAACAGGAGAGTATAAACTCGGGGTTGGGACAGGGGTCAGCAAGACTCTCGACTGTGCAGATTGAGAGTGTCAGTAGTCGGTGGTCGGTCGAGGCGGTTTATAAGGCGAGGGTTTTTGACTGACCGGTGTGATGGAAAAATGTGCACGAAGTGCGGTGTTCAACCGGATGTTATCTTGGCCACGGGTATCTTTGCACGGTTGGGCATCCCTCTTCAAATCGGCCTCCGGGGCGATACGGTAAGCAGTCTGTCTACCTGGCTGAACAAGGGCGTAGCATCGGGTTTCCCGCTGCGTTTCGTTCCGGTTAGCCAAGGTACTCCAGGTCGCTTTCTGCCGCTGGTTATCGGTGGGAGCTTCCAATTTGTATTTCGTGCACAAAGTTCCCTAATTAGTCCGCCGGCAGGCCTGATGGCCTGGGGTTGTGATGATCAGAGTTTAATGTAGTTTCTGGGATTTGGGTGAAGCCCTCAATTGGCATTTGCACCATCAGTAAGGTACAGTACCATTGAACTCTTCTCAAATCACACTTTAAACTGACATGGACTTCCTTCGGTGTCAGCTCATTATGCAAAATCTCGCTTCATAAGAGAAGGCCTGACCCCGAACCCTTGCCATCAACTCACACTTGATTGATCAGCGTCTAGTTATTCAAGTGTATGGCTAGTCCTCCGAATGCAGCTTACCTTGTTGAACCGGTCAACTTCTCGAACACCGATCGAATCTCCAAGCGGGGTTGGCGTTGTTCCGAGTCGTTAATCAGCCATCAATGACGAGAGCTCCATCTATTGGTGACATCATGCGCCCTCCCCCCTTCCATTGTGAGCTCTTGACACCAGACACTAAAAGCCTTCGGCCTCTCCAATGCTCCCACAACTGCTCCAGCGACTTCTCCAGTGCAAAAGCAAAAGTAAGTGTAGAAGCTTGACCGTAAACCTCACCAAAATGGCCGCCACACTCCTCCCGCATCCCCCCCAGAAACCGCATTCCATCCACTCGTACGCCGGGTTGGCTAAGCCCCCCCACCTCACCCGCCTCGAGGAGACCACGCACAAGGTGGGCCAGGTCGAACCGCTCAGCATCGACGTCGACGACGCCCACGGCGGCTTCGTCCCGGGCTTCCTGCACCTCCCGCCGGACTTCTTCACCAACCCGCCCGCCGCCACCGAATCCGAGGGCGGCGGAGGAGGCACCACCACCACTGGCACCAAACCAGCAGCGGCCCTCCCTCCGCACCACCACCGCACCGCCGCCATCCTCCTCTCGGGCGCCGGCGGCGGCGTCACGGGCCCCAGCTCCATCTACCTCTCGCTCGCCTGCAAGCTAGCTACCCTCGGCCGCGGGATCCCCTGCCTGCGGCTCGACTACCGCTACCCGGCCGTCACGGAGCCGTGCGTGTGCGACGCGAAAGCGGGCATGGCCTACCTGCGCGACATGTACGGCCTCGACCGGTTCGTGCTGGTCGGGTGGTCGTTCGGCGGCGCCGTGGTGTTTACTGCCGCCGAGGACGATCCGCACGTGGTGGGGTGTGCGACGGTAGCGAGCCAGACGGCCGGGACCGAAGGGATCAAGAGGCTTGCGCCGAGGCCGGTGCTGTTGATGCATGGGAGCGGGGATAATACGTTGAGTGTTGGGTGTTCGCAGCGGTTGTACCATAATTATGGGGCAGGGGACAGGATGTTGCAGGTTTTTGAGGGGGATAATCACTCGTTGAGCAGGAATGCGGAGAGGGCGGAGGAGATGCTGTGTGAGTTTGTGGCGCGGTGCGCGGGCGTCAGGGTTGATCCGCAGGAGAGGAAGAATGTGGTCGAGGCGGAGCTGGTCGACGAACGGGAGAGACATGAGTTGATGGAGAAGGGTGGTGATCTGAGGGCCCCCGAGAGGGAGGACTAGCCGGTAGTGAGGAACGGGTGGCTGTGAACAGAATGGAAGTGCTGCTTGGCGGGTGAGTGTACTATATTGTTCAACATTGGATATCAAAGTGGGTGGTCACATTCAGGGGCTAGGGGCCAAAACGGTGAGTGGCAGCATGGAGGCAGAAATTGTTCAGAATCATAATGAGAGTTATAGCTGTACAAAGGGAGTTCAAACTCCCGTTTCGGACAAAGTACAGCTTCCGTACGCTGTTGACCATGACTCGTTCTGGTGCTGCCTCCTACTATCCTCATTGCCCAGTGCAGTTCAGGCTAACGTGGAGGCTACACTAAGGTACACTCACTGTCCGTAAGGTAGGGCGGCAGCGACTCGAAGCCAACTCCCGATTCCCAAGCCGAGTGAGATGCGGGGAACGGAGCTAGGGGAGGCGGCGACTCAGATCCACCTACCCCGACAGCTTGGCCCAGGGAACGTCTGTGAAACCCCAGTGCAATGGGAGGGACCGACGGGGCTACTGACGGGTACATCCTTGAGCTCCGGACTTGACATCGTGGGCACCCTAAACGCGAGCGCGAGCCACACAGAAAGTAATCTGCGTCAACAAGAGATAACCTACCTGAGCTACCGAGCTTAAAATACCCCGACATTGCCACTGGGCCACAAACATCTTATGGCTTCACCTAACACCAACCATGACCACCGAGACCGAGAAAATCGACGTCCTCATCTGCGGCAGCGGCTCGGCCGGCCTCTGCGCGGCCGTTTGGCTATCCCGGTTCGGCATCCGCTACAAGATCCTCGAGCGGCGCGCCGGCCCCCTCCGAATCGGCCAGGCGGACGGCGTGCAGACGCGCACCGTCGAGATCTTTGACAGCTTTGGCATTGCCGAGGACCTGCTCAAGGAGGCGTACCATGTGCTCGAGGTGGCCTTCTGGGCGGCTGATCCCGCGGCCCAGGGGATCAAGAGGACGCGGTATGCGCCGGACAAGGAGACCAAGATCAGTCATCAGCCACATGTTATTCTCAACCAGGCGCGGTTGAATGAGCTAATGATGGGGCAGTTGGGCCGGGTACCGCCGGTCGAGTATGAGTGTGAGGTTAAGGGGGTTGAAGTTGATGATCACGCAGCAGGGGATCAAGACGCATATCCCGTGAGGGTCATGGCGGTGAAGGATGGCCGGGAGATAGCGTACCGGGCCAAGTATGCGTTGGTAGGTTATTCCCAAGTTCTTCTCTCCTCTATCGTAGCTGCCTGGCTAACAAGCTCAGGGCTGCGACGGCGCCCACAGCGTCGTCCGCAAATCGCTTGGCTTCAAAATGATCGGCGACAGCAGTGACGCCGTATGGGGCGTCATGGACGTCTTCCCGCGCACAACCTTCCCTGACATACGCAGAAAGTGCGTCATCAACTCGACGGCCGGCAGCATCCTCGTCGTGCCGCGCGAGGGCGACGCCATGGTCCGCCTGTACACCGAGCTGCCGCCCGGCACCAAAGTCAGCGACGTTACCCTCGAGAGCCTGCAGCGCCACGCCCGCAAAGTGTTCATGCCATACACCATGGACTTTGACGAGACGCCCTGGTGGTCTGCCTACGCCATCGGTCAGCGCAGGGCCGACGTCTTCCACCGGGCCTTCCGCGTGTTCCTCACCGGCGACGCCAGCCACACCCACTCGCCCAAGGCCGGCCAGGGCATGAACGTCAGCCTCCAGGACGGATACAATATCGGCTGGAAGCTGGGCATGGTCCTCACGGGGCGGGCCCGGGGGGAGTTGGTCGAGACATATGTGCTGGAGCGCGAGCGGACGGCCCGGGAGCTGATCGACTTTGACCGCGGGTTCACCAAGCTGTTTGACTCCCGGTACCGCGAGGAAAACAACGTGACGCCGGGGCAGGTGGCCGAGCAGTTCGTCAGGGCTGGGAGGTACACGGCTGGCCAGTCGGTGCACTACGATGCTTCGGTCATTACGATTGTTGGGGACCGGGACGGGGAGATTGCATCTGGATTGACCGTGGGAATGCGGTTTCCGAGCGCGCAGGTAGTTCGGTTCTGCGATGCCAAAGCTACGCAGTTGGTTAAGGGCCTTCCGGCGCAGGGGCAGTGGTATGTCGTGGTGTTTGCGGGAGACATAACACAGCGGGAAGTGGCCTCGCGGTTGAAGAAGGTTGGCCTACCTTGTTCTGAGGCAGGGATTGTCGACTTGCAGTTAACCCACTTCCCAGGTGTCTGACTCCCTCGAACTGACTGCTCAGCGCTTCACGCCGCTTGGGGCGTACCCGGATAGTGTCATTGACAGGGTCCTGGTGATTGCGTCAGACCGGAAGAGGGTCGAACAGGAGGACATCCCAGAGTTTTTCACCCCTGTGACGGGCAGATGGGGAATGCGATGTAAGTCCACCGTGCCAAGCTCCTGCCTGCCTTTGATTAGCAACAAGCAGCGATACTGACTTTATTCGCAGGTTTGACCAAAGTATATGCCGACGAGGAAAGCTACAACTCTGGACATGGACAGGCGTATGAGACTTACGGTGTGGACCCTCAGATGGGAGCACTAGTGGTTGTGCGGCCAGATCACTGTGGGTGAACCTAAACAACTGTTAACGATGGATGCTGACTCAGGTGAAGATGTGGCCAGACTTGCTCCCCTGGAGGAGGCTGACTCAATACGGCAGTTCTTCGATGCTTTCCTGGTACCTGTGGCGCTGAGCTGAGACAGTGCGCCTTGTATGTAAGAGCCTGAGCGTTGCAACACAAGAAGGCAGCCAGGCTGAGCCAGAAAGTCACTCAGCAGTGTTCGACCAACGGTCACGTATTTCTCTTCAACCATTGCCGACCTGGAAATTAGGTGTTTCGGTCAAGAAGCGAGCTCTGTTGGGCTTTGGCATGGGCAGCACAGCAGTAGGGCTCTCTGCTGGTCAGGCGCCAGGCCGGCGGCCGCATCATGGACTGCAGCAATGGAACACAGCATAGGGCGTGTTGTAGGCTGGAAGGCACACGCGTGAGTCAATGCAGCACTGGGGTGAGTCTGCTGTTGCAACTTTGAACTCTTCAGCAGGTCTAAAACGCACCGTGGCAACACCGTGAGGTCATGTTGGTCACTTGCAGCAACGTGGCTCGCGGCCACACTGACGGGATGCCTTGTCTCATGCCTTGTATACGTTGATTAATGTACAGTTGAGTAATAGTTACCTATATCATATCTAAAGTGCCCCATCCGAATCACTACTCTTACACCATGTTCCTTCAACAAAACTTGAGGATGTGCACTCAAAGAAAGAACTAATTCCCGATCGTTCAAAGCCTCAAAACAAAATATTGCTAGAGCAATATGCCTTGCTATACTGAGACGAAAAAGCAGCTGGGCGTATGTCTATCCCTACTAAAAATCAGGCGCTGCCTCGATCGACGCAGCCCTACTCTCACAACACGGATTGCTGCCATGAGGATTAGCAGCGGGAGAGTCATGAAAAGAGGGGCAAGGCTGCTTGACGGGAGGTGCGATGACTTAGAGTAAAGGGATATATAGATATATATGGCTACCCTCGAGGGCCGGGCAGCGATATACATCAGCAAGCGGTTTGAAACCAGACAGTGGGACTTTGAGGCGTCGGAGAACTGGTGCCGGGTGTGGATTCCCGAGATGGATCTCGGCCAGGGAAGCCGTGGCTTTGAACTGTGGTCTATCTACAATCCTCCAAGCAGCAAGGAAGTGCCGAGTGCCCTCTCCGGCCGGCCGAAGCCGAATCACCAAGTGGTTTTGGCGGGAGATTTCAATCTACAATACCCCCTATGGGACAAGTTCGAGCGATACGACAGAAGAGCCGAGGGCCTGCTACGGCTAAGCTCCCACTAGGATCTCGTCATCCGGACGCCGAGAGGAGCAGTCACACGAGCTCCACAAGGGTAGTAGCGAGGTCGTACGTCAACCATTGACCACTTATGGACTTCGGCAGACCTACAAACAGTCCACTACGGCGAGGAGTGCCGGGAAAGTCAGACCATTACCCACAGGTGCTCGAGGTAGGAGAGGGGACGGACCGAGGCCAGCCCAGCCAGCCGGGTGGAACTGGAAGGAAATGGATAAGAAGAGAGTGAAGGTAGAGTCAGAATTTCTTTACAAGGCCATTGGCCTCACAGACACAGGGCCGGACCGCCTGATGATCAGAATTCGGACGGTCGACGGGCTGAGCGAGGC